CTTTGATCCCTAAGGAAAGAGTAAAACTTGTAAGAATGCATCCTTTGATTGCACTTAAACTTCATTAACTCTTGTTTGTTTATGCAACATGATCGTTTATTTCACCATTGTTTGCCAAATGAATATCATGAGTACTGATAAAATCACCAAAGCTGTTATTGTAAACGCGAACGTGCACGTGGTTTTCCTGTCGACTACAGGGCACAGTAAAAAGTAATTAAATAATTAATGGACTCTAGCCTTCTGGATACTTAAATTATTCTTAGTGAAAGACTGCAAGGGGTGACAGGCTGCACATCTAGCATTATTTACAAAGTTTTGATCTTTGCCTTAAAAAAGGACAATGTTTTGCTGATAAAACTTTAACCTTCGGACGTACAAGGGGTAGGGAGGTGGATGCCACTCACCGTTCCCTTAGGTTTTTCTGGAATTTTTCCAAGAGGATAAAACATCAGCACCTGACGTTTTCAGTAGCTGTTCGTTTATCCGAAGGTTAAGTGGTTCTTTAAAAAATTGGCAAGGTAGTGGTTAGTTTTGTACGAGATTACAATTTTCATTAACGCTTCTTGTATAATAGACACTAAGGGTTTGTATTGTGTCACGAAAGGCAATATTTCTTTTTCTTTCTTGTTGCTTTTTTTTTTCAGGAGCGCTGCTTCCTTCTGTGAGTTTTACTTCTAATAGCAATTTTTCTTTCAAAATTGTGTGGCCAGCCTCTGTCCGTCAACCGCTTTTAAGAGGCGAAATGTATATACAGGAAGGTTTACGTTTAAAATGCGTCTTTACGTCAATGATAGCTTTTTCTCATTTTTCGTTGAATGTTGTGCCTTGGTATACAACCGTTTCAAAAAAGATTGTCTTGGTGTCGGATATTTCGGCCGTCAATTTCATAGCCAGTAGAGCAGTAGGGTGAAGTAAGTTTACTTGTTCCGTGAATTTGAAGAAATCTACCATATCCCATAGGGAAAAAATGTCATCTATGTAGCGTTTTCAAACAGTTGGTTTAAAAAAGGTTTTGCTTAAACTTTGTGTTTCAATATATGCGGTCATGAAAATGTTGGAAGGAAACTGCTGAATGTGCTCATCGCGGCACCCTGGGTTTTTACTGATAGTGCTTTCCATTAAACTGGAAAGAATTTTCTTTGAGGATTAATCTAAGCATTTCTCGGACCGAAACAAGAAAAGTTTGGTTTTTTCACCTTTGTCTTTTCAATAAAATTTATAAGGTCGGTAGCATCTTTAAGGTGTGGCTTCTGTGATTATGATATTGGTTGTAGTAATGTACCTGCATCAACAAAAGAGGAAGTTCTTTCTGTTAGACCATCTGCCTAAAATAAAAGGGCGATCCTGCACCTATTTGAAAGATTGTTTGTGATTAGCTGGGAAGACAATAGGGATTGTCACATAACAATGCCCCTATCCCTGAAAACAATGGAAGTGCAAATTAACGGGGCCTATGAAATAAGAGGTTTAGAACGGTGCTGGACTACTGGAAAAAAAAAAAGCAAAATGCTCTTTTTTCTGAAAACAAATATTGATAATGTCAGCCCATGTCGGTTTCCGGTTAATATTTTTCCTGTCGGTAGTCGGTAATTTTTTACTCGTTTTGTCGGTAGTCAGTGATATTTTTCGCCCTTTGTTGCTAGTCGGTTAACCCCATTCACACCCTCTTAGGTTAGCCTTACATATCACAGACGTGCACAAAGATGTGAATTGATAAAGATGGGAAGTTAAAGCTCATCTCACACAAATGTAAAAATCGCAACTCCGTCACAGACCGGGATAGAGGGTTCGCATCCAGAGGCACTATACCAACGTCAGCACTCACAACGCGCCGGAAAGGAGAAGAAAGCGATGCGCGCGACTGAGCTGGGGTGATGGGGGAGTGATCATGAGACGGAACCGAATGTTCACCTAATTTTAGCGACACTTTAATTTAGCGATTAAAATAACTAATTTAAACCACACCTAAAATTAAGTGTCGCTAAATTTATATTGTACGGCATTCCTAAATTAAGGTGAGTACAACATGAAATTCTGCCATCTCGTCAGTTTTACACACATGCTATTTGACGGTCGATTATGCCTACGTGTAATATTGACCTTGGGTGACACCAAAATGTATGTAACATTACAGTCGCAGTTTTGTTTTTTTTCGTTCAAAATTGAGTTTCAGAACGTGGTATGATTTTGATTTAAATGACGCTATTGGCGTTTATTATTTTAATGCAGAAAAGTTCTGTCGTCGTCGTAAAAGTTTTTAATCGCCAAATTAAAGTGCCCAGTAAATAAGGTTTTGTCAAAATCACTAAGCTGACGTGTCGCCCAAATTTTGTGTATTAAATAAGGTAGCTTTACGCAGTTGAGCTAAGTATTGAGAAACTAGCCCAATTGTACAAAAAGTCGGAGTATTATATATTTGACTCGGGATATTGACGACTGTAGAATCGTGTCTCGTGACACCTTCATCTGATACTATATCTATGACAGATGGTTGCGTTACTTCCGGGAGTCTTCATTCTGAATTCTGGGAATTCACCGAAAGTGAAAGTTGATAGAATTGTATTGTGTCCGAGACTTACAGCAGAATTCCATGATGGCGGAAACTATAAAACACGTTCACCTTTTCAACTTCGATAAAACGTATAATCTGGCTTCAGTAGAAGCACTGCTGTTAGACACAAAAGCCAAGCTCGATTTCGAATTATCGATTGAGAAGCATGATGACTTGGTTCTTCCAAAGATGTCTGAAGCGTGCGAAAGCATGATTCCTGCATTGCGGATGGACTTGGCGGTTTTTGTAGTGCAAGCACACGAATCTCGGCTCTCAATCAATGAAGAAAGCGCTGGGATAGGATACGCAAAGTTCTACAAAGCTTTGCAGCACAAAACGGGTGAGCCTTAATTACAACACCATTCATAACCCTTATAACAGGTCAAACACTGTCCTTTATCGTAAGAAAATATATTACAACTAACTACCGTCACGATAGGAGCAATAGCTGAGCCAATTTGCTTACATGCCTTTTACTGCCCAAATATGACGATACTCGAGGGAGCAACAATGAGGCTTTGGTCCACTGAGTTTTCTAGGGAATGATAGTTCTCTCCGATATGTATCAATTAAATGCAGATCATCTCAGTATACATCCGTCGATTTCAGTCGATTTCGTGTAAAATGAATTTCAGTACTCTGTATGAATAATGCACATATTCAGCATGCTCGTAAGTAGTAAAAACCTGTGCATCTGACTGTGTACCAGTACAGTAGAAGCTATATACAGTACTAGTACACGTCGACATATATAAGTCAGTTTTAAAATGAATTCAAACTTCATTTGTGTTTGACTTCGTTATATTTTTCACTACATACGGGGCAAACTGGTATAGGGCTGAATTATCTTAGTTCGCTGAATAGAGTAAAAGCTAACGACTGAAACTAACAGCTTTGTAATAGATATATTAACTTAAATTTATTTTCATTTTGGTTTAACTTTTTTTTTTCTTTGTTGGTTCACACTCATAAATTACCAAAAATTTCAAGCAAGAATAAAAGTGAATCACAACAAATACATTGCTGGGGGATCATGATTAATTTGCTTTTTCACTTAACGTATCTGAGTGTGTCAGGCACTTGACATGCTATTTTGTGTGCAGGTAATAAGCAATTTCGGTTTTATCTGCTCTCACTTTCAATACATGTCTTCTTCAATTTCCACTCATCACATTTACCTTTGTGGGAAAGATTTTCTAAAGGGGTGGGGTGAGGTTGGCTGGTGCAAATCAATAAGTCATGCTGTGTTTACATCCACAAGTTTACAAGAATAACTCTTTCATGAATGTTTACAAATAAATAAATGTATAATCAAGGCTAACTGTTCGGCAAGGCGATTATATTTTATCCTTTAATTGCCATACACTTGTCTCCATGATCTTCTCTCTTAAAGTGTCTGCTCCCTGCAGGCTTTGCTTTGGGGAAGTGAGACACCTATAGAGTACTTAAGTATGACGTAATAAAAATGAAATTTCTGAAATTATGGGATTTGTCAGGATATTCGGAAAGAACAATGTCCAAGAGGCCTACTTACCAAAAATGAGCACTTCGGGGCAAATTGTCTCTGAGATAGTAGCCTAGTTATGCTTAGAAAACTCCACACAAACCCTTCTAAATTTTTTTGGGCCGACCCCCCAAAAAATTTGAAGGGTTTGTATGGAGTTTTCCTAGTATAACCGGCTAACATCTCAGAGACAATTTGCTCCGACATGCTCATTTTTGGTAAGTAGGCCTCTTGGACATTGTTCTTTCAGAATGTCCTGACAAATCCCATAATTTCAGAAATCTAATTTTTATGACGTCATCACTTTAGTACTCTATTAAGCCCTTCCCGGGAGTAAATAAGTAGGATTGAGGGCCTGGAACCCACTGAGATTGGAGCAAATATTCAGGAGTAAATCTGGAATTCAGTTCATCAAACCCTCACGGCCAATCACACGGGAAGGATGTTCGATGTATGTGAACGACTTGTGCCGCTCCGGGCCTTTGCTGTTCTTATTATACGGCTGTCTGGTATAGTGTGAAAGTAGCCTTTAATTAGTGTTTGACTTTTGTAGTCCTAGCGTGTATCTATTTATGTATTTTGTATTGTCTTGTTGTAAGGTGACAATGTTATCATAGTTATCGGTGGAGATGATGAATACAAAGACGAACGTGAAGAAGATGAAGCTGTTCTGTCCCGTTGGGCTCGGAGGAAAGTATCCTCTCAATTCCAGGAGGAATATCTTGATGGACGAAAGAGTTTCATCTTTTCATGGGACAAGAAGCACAGAGGAATTCACGTGGAAGCATTGCTACACTTCTTTGACTCAAATAAAAAGGGCGAAAAGTTTGAATCGCCGCCAAGGCTGAAAAAACCGACACAGTCTGATAATCCTTCTTTTGAGAAAGCGGATATAATGCCTCAAAAGGACGAGGTAATTAATGTTACGAATCTCAATTTAATTCTAAGTGCATAGCGTATTAAAAAACGGCCTTACATTTCCTAGCAACATAAATGCCTCAATTTGGTAACTTGTAAGTCACTTCTAATTTCTGAGTTTCGAAGATAAAACTTGACATTTTTCTTGTATTTGTGTGTGAGTTGATATGCATTAGCAAATCCGAGTGATGATGGACCAATGATGATTGTTTTCACCGTCACAAAATTAGCGTTTTTGCTGGGCTCATAGTATCCCCTATTAAATCTCTTATTGGACGGTTTGGTGTGTAATCGTAAAAACAGTTTTACTCGTCTATTGTATTTTGACTCGCCCTACGGGCTCGTCAAACTACAGCGTTACTCTTAAAAATATCCCACGATATTACACACTAAACCGCGTCCAATAAAACATACTTATTAACTTTCTTGTCGGCATTACCTTGAAGATCCGGGAGGCATTAAAGTAATTTTTTCATGCCCAGAAAATTGAGCGAGTAGCAAAACACAGCCGAATTAAGGGACTGATTTAAGAGTAAAACAAGTGCATGGAGGATTATTTTGTATTTAGTCTCACCTCCGTCTCCTTGGTAGCAAGTATTTTATATTAGCGCTGTTCATCTCTTATTTACAGATCCCGAATTATGCAGTTAAAATTGTGTGTTGCATTTGTGCGCATGCTAATTCTAATGATAATGAGGGGCAACCTTAAAATCAGGTTTTTTCCTGGAGATTTTGTTCTCCTTGTATTTGTTTTTACTGTGTTATCACATCAACAGGTTGAGATCATCAACGAATTAGAAGAAAAATCTACTGAAATCCGGGCTGCAGAAGCGGTTGATTATAAGAAACAGGACAGAGTTAACGAAAGTAAGACAGCTGTGCATGCGTCAGGGGGTAAGTACATGTACATTTGTATAGAGGGTTACATGGCGTCCCGTCGTAGGTCCGAAACTAGCGAGAGACGCTCATGAGATTTGGGTACGAGATTAGGTAAATTGCTCTGGGCTTGAACTGTCTCGGCGAGCTGTCCAATTAGGGACCTACACATTGAGTATAGGGATGTCTTAGGGATCTATCTTCCACAAACCCTTCAAAGAAAAATTTGAAAACCTCCTTTTCTTATTTTGTCTTCTGAAGGGTCGCAATTGAATTACCCAGAAGGCACGGTGCTCCTTGACACTCGGCTTCGCTATGGGGAACTGTCGTATGACGTTGATGATCTGCAAAAAATGGAGGAAAACTGGTACCCACCTCAAGAAATACGCCAATCCCTTCAAAATCGGTACAAGTCAACACCCGAAGCACAAGTGGAATTGGTAGTTCGTCAAAACAGGCTTATTCAGAACGTTAATATCTTGAAGTATCCTTTGTGGCAGTTTTGGAGATGGCAGTGCACATTATTTTGAGCGAAAATAGACAGTTGTTAACCTGGCCAGCTTTGCAATAATTAGCTAGGTACTTGCTGCATGAATCATGAGTGTTTTTCATACTTGGTCAGGTTACCTTCAACAAGTTGAAAATGTTATAAATGCTTTAATAAACCATGATTGGCTTCGTTTTGGGCGGTTTGGTGAAGAAAAAAGGATTACATTTAGTCGACAATTAACAAGGAAGCTAGAGGTTTTGGGGGGAGGATTGATTCCGAAAATAATTTGCATCGCCAAGATTATGAACAATAAAATTAGTCATGCACGGTCGACTATCTCTTAAGGGACACTTGTATAATACGGACACCTCGGTAAATAGGAGTTGGTCAGAGCATAGTTATTAGAGGAGACTGGTTATGAAAAGCGGCAAACATCAATGATAAACACAAGAGTGCTGCAGTTTATGTTGGAAGCACCCTGAAAGTGCACAATCCTTTGTTTTCCGTTGGCAAATTGTTACGGAATAAATTAATGCAACGTTTTTATTGGTCAATACAATCAAAATGATAGGAATTCTTTTGAACGTTGTGCACTTTCAGGTCCACAAAAACATATAACAAAGGAGTCTGACGGGTTTCATAACCATTCCAATTAACTATGGTCAGAGTTGATCCCTGGCTTTTAACTCCCTTTGTTATATTCCTAGACTTTCACTCAACTAAACAGGGACTGCCATTGGTTGATTCTTGGTCACGTGGCCTTGAGTAAAATCAAATGTATCCCGATCGTGATAAATTAAGCAATGTACCCCGCTCGGGCTACATTACAGCACGTGATCAAAGCATGGTGGAAAGTGGTGCGACAGAAGGCGGAAAAAACACTGCCAGTTTTTTTTTTTGGTGAATGAACACGACAACTTGATCACAAACACGAAGCCTTAAGCTAAAAAGCAATGACTTTTAAAGTCATCCCAGAAGAGAAACAGCAGCTAGTATAGTGGAGGAAAAAGATGCAGATAATATAAGGAAAGTACTCATTCAGTGGTTTTAAGAATTAACTTTGTGTTGATATAAGTGCCGAGTCGACTGTTTTGGTTCGCTCCGGTTATTCTTTTGTTGCTGTTGAAGTAAAAGTCGAGAAATATAACAAAACACTTAATGTTAGGTCCCTCGGGAAACCAGTTAGTTTTGTTTTCCCTCGAGAGCTTCCCAAGACGAAGTCGAGGGAAACATCAGGTTTCTCGGGAAAACAAGACTAACTGTTTCCCTCGGGATCTGACATGAATTGTATATTAGTTTACTCTCTTTTAGACGGACATCACTCTTAGACGGACACTTAGTGCCAGTTCTAGGTTGTTCGTCTTAGCGAGAGTTGAGTTGAATATGATATTCGTTTTTAATTAGTAACTGGCTTCTTTTTGGAGTGGTAAGTAAGCTTGTTATGGATTAGTCAGTGAGTACGAGTAAAATACCGACTTAGCCTAATAGCCTTTGTCGGACACTTAAAAGTGATCATGATCCAGAGTAAATGATGGAGTCTTACAAAGTGGTTCTACTGAGTCTGCGGACGAAATCTTGGCCTTATAGTAGTGTTACCATTCACATGTAACCTCTTTGGAAATTCTTAAATTAAACAAATGTGGAAGTGTCGTCTAATTTTGAGCATGGCAACCTCGGGAGTGAGAGGGTGAAAGGCTTTTATCGGGGAGTTTATTTCCCTTGAGAGAATGGGAGGGTTTATTCTGTGAATTCTGGTAAAGGGGGGTTGACCCCGTTCGACGGCAGGAGTGGTGTTTTGTAATTGACCATTGCTTTGTAGCAGTGCGCCAAAAGGTAACACGCGGAAAAGCAGTTCGCAAGATAGAAAACCATTTAACTTTACGGGTGGTTGGTAAAACAGAGTTTAACTAGTCATTAACCAAGTGCTTTCTCTGATTTAGAGCTTTGACGATTTTCCTTATAACCGCAGAGTACTTTATACTTTAGGCTTTGTTTGATTAGCCAATCCCTAGAACTAGAGTACTAGAACAAAATAATAAAACAAATCAATAAATAAATACACACGCCAAAAAAATAATAAAATTATTTAATCTGTGATAGATGTATAATTTTATGAAATAAATCATATAAGAACTGCGGAAATGAAGTCAAATGAATAATGATCCTCGCAGTTGTGAACCCAATTTATGCAATTGCGTACGGAGACTGAAAAAAAATCAGGACTGACTGATTACAGTCCTTCTTTTTTTCTTTTTTTTTTTTCAGGCTTCTCACGCAATTGCATAAATTGCGTGAGGATCATTCTTCATTTGATTTTATTTGAACTGGCAGTCCAAAGGAGTTTATTCAACTAATGATAAACTTATGAACAGGCGATCAGTTCATTTTTTGCTTTAAAAATGCTGTGTTCGTTTAAAAAAAAAACTAGCCTGGATTATAAAGCTCGTAGATAGGTTGCTGTAAGTACTCATTACAAAATCCTAATATATCCTCAAAAACACTACTTAACTCAAAACGTAAGGAATTTTCATTGATAGTATCCAGCAGTTCCCGTCTTTCTAGACAAAATGCTGTGCTGTCTTGCCAGTCTTAAGATTAGGACGTTTCTGGTCTAAAATACTTCAGTCTCTAATTGATGCGAGCAGTACACATTTGTACGAGCGGAGAAGTTAGAAAACGCCGTCTGCTATCTAAATTCGGAAATCAAATCAGGCTTACAGCGTTTGCCTCGAAGTGGTTAGTCTTTTTTATCCAAGAGTCCTTTTGGCCCGGCAGAGTTCGTCCCAAGCTGTTGGAATTGCGCCTGCAGGTAGTTTAGAAGAGACAGTGATCAACATAACTACGATCCTGGCCAAAAGGTTTTGGGACACCTCCCCTGCTTCACTTGGTTTTGTATGGAATTTGCAGCTAACCTGCGATACACACTCATAAACACGGCCTTAACAAGATTTTTCCCCAACCCCCCCCAAACAAAGTTGAGGTCCTTAAAGTGTACAAGATATGTAAAAGGTGTTTGACTTGAAACACCCAACAGTGTTCAGGGGGGGAGGGGGTCAACTTGAATTACATTCCCTCACCTAAAACGCAAAGTGTCCCAAACGTTTTGACCAGGATTGTAGGTAGAAAGACGTTAAGAGCTAGAGGAAGGTCAAGTAAGGTGATGTTACTCGAAACGATTTTCAACCGCGATTTTAGTATTCGGATAATGATGTTGAAACAACGTAACAATATGTCACAACAACGTTTTAACGGTGTGTTGCATTGAAAACCGTCATAGCGAATAATTTGGTGTAACAATCTGCCTTTAGAGTTCAAATAATGATAATTCTGAAGAGGGTCTACATGGGGCTTGCTGTTAAGTGTTTTCTGGGGCATATAGTTTTTATGCTGTTAAGTACTGCAAATCCCTAAATTGTTAGCCAGGTAACGTTTGTACATTAAATTACAGTTAACTATTATTTTACATTGTAAGTAGTAAATATAACAAGTAAAATACAAATCGACACTTTAGACGTGCATGTCACCATGAAAAAATTGCCATAAATATATAAAAAAGACCAATTCATGGGTGTCTGAATTCGTGTTTCTTATGACTTATTATTCAGTTATTCTGTTACAGGTTTCTTTTTACTGTCATTTGTTGAATAGCCTGAACGGCTAGTGTTAAACAAGCTGTTATGCCGACCCCCATTTAGGCCCTTTCTTAGAAAACACCTCAAAACTTGGGCAACCAGCCAGACGGCCGAGCTGGTAACCAGTCAAAATGCACATACATGTGACTGTAAGTCAAGGTGGGAATCTCTCAGTGTTGTTGTTCTAGATGGGAAAACCTCGCCACGTATCTCTCATGAATATCAACCGTGTACCTTAACTTACCATTGGAGTCGGAAATAATAAACAGGTCTGCGGTGCACGCCATTGGATATTCGCGCTCAATATTGACAATTATGTAGCGAGGCACCGTCCAGTTCGGACGTTTAAATTCAACGTGCTTTGGATCAAGTGAGACTTTGGCGCCCAAAATGTAAGTCTTAAGCATTAACGTCTCGTTGGGAGCAAGCCGTTGGCGCCACTTTTCGGGAATTACAAAGCGAGTTGGCTGGTGCTTTGTCTTCCTTGCGTTTCTCCCGGAGGCTAGCTCAAAGTCAACATGGCAAGTTGGAGTTCCCTCTTTATCTGTAATAAGCAAAACAAAGTTATAAAATATAACATCTCATAAGTAGTGTGAATATTCCCCGGTCCGCGTGTGGATAGTCCTGAGCAGGGCTGCTTTTATGACTGACTTTTCGACACTTCTGTCTTGTGGTACTCACATTCAGAGTCAACGCTGTCAGTAGTTTATATTGACCTGATTGATCAAGTAAGTCGAGATGTAAATGGTCGTCTGTCATCTAAGCAGAGATGTTATTTGCTATGGTTGTGACTAGAATGGATACAGATACAGGTTGTCACCTTCACTCAAAATACATGATAGAAAGAAAACACTTAGTAGCATGTAGTACTTGAACGCGCGTCATTTGATGTGTAATCCAGATGCGTATCCTCTACACCATCAAGGCATAACTGCCGACACCGGTTAATTTTAACGTACCTTACATGGCATTGATTATTAACCGTTTTTAAAAATGTGCTTAATCCTAATCACTATACTTCGGTGCTAAACCCTGTATTCAACTCTTTTGCTTTCACAACTGTCTCTTAGTGTGATTTCCCCACTTTTCTAAAAAATGTGTCCAGTAAATTGGCATAAATGGTTCTCTATGACGAGTATAGCGTTGTGTAATAAACATAAGGTGTCCAACCTGATTTTAAGGTATCCATTCTAGTCACAACCTATTTGCTATGAGAACTGATATGAGAGTGGTGCCTTTATATCCGTCTTTTGTCATTCAATGTAATGTCGGTAAACATCTTTTTATTCACCGAACTTCATGTTCAATACATTTCTTGGTCTCTGACCACCACGCAGGACGCATGTACAGTGATCATGGTGTTGAGGCGGTATTGGGGTGACGTATGGTAATCCTACTTACCTATAGGGTGTTCACTCATGAATTGGTTTCGCCAGGCTGGCGGCTTTCTGTTGGGTGGGTCATGGCGAGGAGATAATTTGTTATCTTTTTCAGCCTCGTAGCACGAAGATTCAGACAAGAAGTCTTCAGAGTCTCTATAGTACCAATCTGCGGTCTCTCCTCTGGGTTTAACACTTTTTTTTGCAAGGGCAAGTGACAGTTCATTTAACTCTGATTCCACTTTCGCAGCGCTTGACCCTTATGTTTAAAGAAAACTTATTGGTTAGCAATTGACTGATTTGTCTAGAAATTAAAGCAGCCATTATTTATACCTGTATACATCTATTCAGATTATAACGAAACAATCCAAGAAAGCTGTTCGTTCGATTTAGTAAAGATGCAAAACAATCAAGGGGCGCATGAATGCGAAGTATTGATGAAGGGCATGAAGATGCACTAGTTTTGAGACTATTTTCCTGTGTATACGGTTCATTTTCCTTAGATTAGGCCGGACGGAGTTCTCGAGCTTGATTTAAGGGTACTATGTATAGTACAATTACATGAGCAACATTATTTGAAGCAAATTGTAAGCAATGAGTGCTTTTCTACAGGTTAAATACATTACCTTGAGCTTTGGTAAAAATTATGTCCACTAATTCAGTACACTGTTTTTCCCAGCTGTATTTCTCATCATAATGCATTCGCAATGTTTCGCACTCTTTGTACCTAATTTCCCTGCTCTTGTGTCGTACGTTCTTGATTGCCTCAGCCCAATGCTGTGGATTTTCAGAGTCAACGACACTCGACAAGCCATTTGATACATTACTTAAGGCTTCACCAAATCCAGAGTTCTGACTTACAAGGAAAGGCAGACAAGCGGAAAGCGCCTCGAGGGCGGTCAAACCAAATCCCTCCGTCCTTGAAGGAACAATGGCAAGATTTGCTTCGCAAAGTATTTTGCCGAGGTGTTCACGATTCTGAACAAACTTCCTCACCGTGAGCTGACTTCGGCACAAACCGAGTTTAAGAAGCTTTTCTGCCACATGCTCCTCGCTTCCGCTTTGTGCACCAACGAAGATGAGATGATAACTTTTGTCCTTCAATGCAGCGACTGCTTGAGCAGCGATGTCGAATCCTTTGAGCTCGAAATCTTCAGAGTCGCCTCGCCCAAATACTAATATCCGAAACTTGTTACCATCCAGAGAAGATCTCTTTAAATGACATAATTCTGTAAAAATTCCTGGCGTAAGATTGAAAACAAATTTTTTGGATGAGCTAAGGTAGGCTGAGTACACTTCAAACAATTTGGGTCCTACTGCTACCACAACATCAGCCATTTCACACAGTTTTACTTCAGTAGAATACTTTGCTTCACCTCTGGAGATTGCACCAGAGTATGTTTTGAACATGGCGAGCTCTTCGGGAGCTGTGTGCACAACTTGGACCCACTTACAGTTGTGGCTTTCCCGAATTATCTGCGCTTGTTTTCCAAGTTTCACACCGTGACCAATGACTACGTCAATGTTTATGTCCTTCCGTGGGAATGTCAAGCAGTCAATTGGGTCGAACCCGGGCCGTTGTTGTGCTTCAAATATCATAACTTTGTGGTTACGAGCCATTCTCTTGTCTTCTTCACTACAGCTTGGAACAAGGGAGCTAACTGCTACATTTGGTTGCTTAGCCAAGTATATGGCTAATGATCTATTCATTGTAGAGAGGCCTCCTTGAGAGGAGCCCCACTCGCTTGCCAAGAGAAGGACGCTCAGTTTTTCGCAAACTCGAGATCTGGATGACATTTCTGTAACAGAAAATGACAATTTCAGTGTCTCCGCCGCGACGGTGTGGAATTGTAGCTTTCAGCTGACGTCAAGGTTGCCATGCCCACATTGTTCCCCTCCCAACCCCCGTCAAGATATTGTCAACAAACAATCGAAAACAACAGTGGTTGCCTTGTCTTCACTTCGGTAAAGTGATCCATGTTTTTCCGATCTCCTATCCAAAACTCTTTACTTTTAAGCAATGTTACTAAATAAGACCATTTGTACCATCTGGTACATAGAGAATACTTCATGGAAAGTGCTGGCGTACGGTATTTACGCACGAGTTGTTGACGTATCAGAAATCGAACGAGTGAGCGCAGCGAACGAGTAAGATTTCTGATACAAAAACAACGAGTGCGTAAATACCGTACAAAGCACTTTCCATGTGGTATTGTGTTTATTATATACATACTGAGGCATTCATCATTTTGGCGGCCTTTTTATTTTAAATCTTTCAAAAATGCTAAAATTTGCGGCTACACACTTACCGCAAAATGACAACGAAAACGAAGTACCAGCTTTTTAGTAAAAACGTTTGTTAAAAACATAAAGGACGGTAAGGATACGAGGTAATCCAAGAACTATAAGTTATCTTAACTGTTTGTTCTCAATGCACAATTGAAAATGAGTGAATTTAAGGAAAATGGCCGGTTTGAATATTATAAGCATAAGCTAAAATGAAAGGCAAAGTAGCTCCGACAAAAAGCACAACAAAAGCTTACGTCTCGTTCTGTTTTTCCCTTTCCGTTGTTGTTTCGCCGGCTCTCTACCGTTTTTTTCATCGACAGTGAAAGAAACGAAACTATTCCACTCCATTTCCGAAATGTTTTTCACTTTTTTAGCGAGAAAAACTCTTTGAGTAAAACTTTTCTCGTTGAATGTGTGCGAAGCGGCGCTGCAAGCTGCAATTAAAGGCGGGAATTTTGGCGCGAAACTCACACACCTCTGTGGCTTCTGATTGGACGTATCATTTTTCTCACACGTGAGAAAACATCGTTCGCGATTCTGATTGGACGTATCATTTTTTTCACGTGTGAAAACCATCGTTCGCTCCTCTGATTGGCTAGAACTAATTTGAGTACGACAATTTACGACATAGCTTTTTGGTGAGTATTTCTCAGTATGTATATAATAAATAAATAGCTGAACCTGGTATACGAAAAATATAGATTCTTACACTACAAACAATATATAGCCTCACCAGATGCTTACATCTCCTCCTTTAAAATCGGCCTTTTCTTCCAGTTCTAGAGTGACGTGTCAAATTCCTATCGACTAGGCAGTCTTTGGTGGCTTGTTCATTTGTCAAGATTCTCCGGTTTATACATAACAGTTTTACCCAGGCAGAACTCAAATTATATTCCACACAACCATTTTTATAGCGGAACTACTTTGATTCTAAGAAACACTTTATATTATGTAAATGGAGTCTTTTCTGAGAAAGTGTAGTTTCCTTTTTTTCTCGGAAGGTCAGCTTTTGTTCGTAAACATTGTTTTTGTTAATCACGTGGGTCAACCAAGACACTTTGCCCCCCGCATTGATGGATGACCTGTCATTCAGCTGTGCAGCCTGCATTACAGGTGCTATTGTTTCGCGCCTTACCTTCAGTTTTCCCGCCGCGCGCGCGTGTCTGGTGCTTGTAAGATATATAGCTTTGTGCTTGACCTTCGCAGGCCTGAAAAACGCAAAAAAATAACGCCTGTTATGCAGGCTGAAGGTAATCCTTTTGAGAAAATGGCGAATTTTTTTCGAGAACGTCTCTGTATTTTGCTGTAGTTAGCAATTCGTAGAAGGCTTGTTTAAGTCAGATATTGACTGTAGACTTTCTGAAAAGTGTGTTTTGGAACGTTATCGACTTGTGGACAATTTTTATCTCATCAGATAACTATCCTCTTCAGTCCTACGTTGTCTATGTTGAGTGACGAGTCAAAACATGTTTTCCTGGCATTGATACGTGACGCCGCGAACTACGGGACTCTTCCTCAACACCCGGGAGGTACTGCCATATAGAGGCTACTTAGGTATGTGCCGCTGTGAAGGGTATGATTTTCAAACAGTTAACACCGGGATAGGGTATATAAACAAGGGAGTTTGGGTCTAGAATAGGGTATCATTTCCCAGGAAACTGATCAGTTGGTTAAAGATCTTATTCTAGACTTAATTACGAAACCGGGAATTGTCACTCAAAAATATAAAAAACTCAAATCGATTTTTTTTTGGCTGGTCTTTACCAGTGATCTCAGTAGTTTTTGAAAAACAGCTACTCAAGGATAGGGGGGATTTGGGGAGTTTAGTCTAGTATGGGGTAGGAAAATTCAGCTCAACTAGCTCTGGTAGAGGCTAAGGGTTTCAGGTTGTTAGGGGTACATCCCCAACCAAAAATGCCTAAAGCACTCCCCCCACCCTCGGGACCTCAATATTGCCAGGCGTGCGGCATTCTACAAACACACGGGCATCTTTTTTCTGATTCTTTCGTTTTTGAGACAAGATCTCTTTAATGAAGCTTTAGTTAACCACGCAGCTAACGTGTTCTTGTACCGCGCCCATGAATTCAGAATGATCATTACTGACTGACCGCTAACAAGCAAAAAACAACGTAACATCCCGTTAAATTTCCTGAAGAAAAGCTATAACTCAGTGTGGTTTAAAAAGGTGATTTCCATGTTTTAATAATGTTTTTATTGTAATTGAATACAATAATACAATACAATGAAGGTTCCCATAAGCTCTATGCTTTTTCATACGGCGATTTAAGCCTTGGCTTTTGGCTGTCCTATGAAAGGACTTGGCAAAATGCACTTTAAGGACTCTACACCTCAGACCGGCCATGCCAGTCTTCAATGTACAGTTTTTCGACAAAAACAAACAAACAAACAAACAGACAGACAAACGGCAAAAGGCAAAACAAAAAATCCAGCGACACTTCACACGACATATTACATTTATATCCAAGGCTGCGAATAACTACTCCTGAAAATGATTAACCACCACCGTATAACGCACCAGGAAGTTACGATCAAGCTGGGCAGTGCATGACTTTTAGTTTACCACTAGACAACTATTTTTATATCAATACTTAGGAATGAAAGTTTTTGAACTTAAGGCATCGCTATAAATAACATCTAGTTACAAAAGTCTCAGTGGTTACATTTCCAGTAGGAGTGGCACTAAATATTGAAAAAAAAATCACAGTTTACATGTTGTATAAATTATGTAGGGAACGCGTCGCATGTAAACACATGGTCGGGTGATTTTAAAAAGATATGTTCAAATAATTTTCCGACGTAGAGAAGGCCAAAACTCTACCCCTTGCACTCTTTGCTCTTCTCTTTCCTTTGTTCTGAATAATGCATCTTAAACTCCCTTTCTCGTCAGAAACAATAAATAGCTTCCCAGTAGACGCATTTCGTTTTAAGTCCTCAAGTATGTACTCAGGGACTTTCCAGCCCGAGTATCGAAACTTGACGTCATCTTCATGGAAAGATACTACACCTTTGCGGACACGAGTTTTTAACAAGAGTAGGTCATTGTCTGCCATCTCTATTCCTTGGTCACCAGTGTAAACAAAAAGTTCATTTTCGATTGATATGACCCTCAGCTGAATCTCATCAGTGTGTCTGTACGTTTCCAGAAGACTTTGTGTCACGACATCCGGGATTTTTAGAAATTCGGGGCTTAAAAATACGACATCATCTGGGTCAAATGATACCTTTCCTTTGTGTAGTTTGCTCTTAAGCACTAGTTTCGCCTTCAAAGGGTCATGCTCGGTGTGGGCATCTTCCACATCTGAAGAATGGACAACGGAACTTCCTGTTTCATCTATCGAAAGGGAAAGGGAAGGTCCATGTTAGACTCCGTTTACAATAGATACACAGCTGAATTTTATATTACATGTCCGCCATCTCTAGCTCGTGATATAGGTAACCAGTAGCCTTAGATGGTCCCAGAGTTTACAGCGTGCCTGATAGTGGCCTGGATGAGCCGCCCACGATACTACACCGTTTACACGGCTCGAACGGACGAATTTTTTTACCTGAGCAACCCGTTTACACCGAACCGTGTACAAAGTTCTTTTACAGATTGCAGGATTGCAGACGATTCAACACAACTTTCCCTTTCACAAACTTGCACCTGTAAATGAAATGGGGATCCCAGGATCCGTTCAAGTTTTTCTCTGTTCAAAAATTTGTGCGTGGAGCCATTTGAGCACAATTTAAACCAAAACAGCCCCAGCAAAACCCCATCAAGGTTACTCAGAGGAAATCCCTTGGTGCGTACATCAGGGAATTAGCCAAAAAGATGGCATCTTGTATTGGGGCTTTGAAGCGTGTTAGAGATTACGTTCCAAACACAGCGTTGCAATCTATTTTAAATTCTCCAGTTCAACCCCACTTCAGTATAATTATTGTAGCGTTGCCTGGGACAGTTGCAGGACAACCCTAGCTACCAGGCCTCAGAAGCTACAGAATTGGGCAGCTAGAGATCTAACTTTTTTACTATGACACTAATGCCGATTATATATTTGGGGAGGTTTGACATGCAGGAGAAAGCTTGATAGTCAGCAATATCGGTTTACAAATGAATAAACGGCCTTGTTCCAAAATATTTGAGCCGTGATGTGTCACCACTTACTCGCTAAGAGACAGTGAGAGCAAACTACTTAAAAACAAACAAACTACTTAAAGACACAAACTACTTAAAAACAAGACGCTCCAAAAGCATTTACTCGACCCAATGCTTGGAGAAAAAAAAAAGATAATTAAGAAATGAGAAGTCAATGATTAATTCTTAAGGAGCCTGTGTGCCGGCGTGGAATAGGGGCTATGTCGGTGGGGTAGGAGGAAAAAAATAACCAAAAGTAACCATTGAGTTGTCTTTGGTACATACAAGAGTCAGAAACTTCACACGCCTTCCGCTTTAAAACTGGAAAAAGACTGTAACGTTACAGTTGGGTCCCTGAATTTTCGCCCATTCGCTAACCATTAGCACAATTATTCTATGGATAAACCGCAATAAAAAATATAAAATTACTTAATTTCTTTTTACCCTGTGTAAGGCCTGTTTCCTATATGATCACCCGGATCATCTCAATCGCTCGCCCCACTCAATTTAGAAATAGGTCTTGACGGTCCGAACGACTGGGATGATTGAAAGTTTCATCATATATGATCGTCTCGGTTGTCTCAAAGACGAAAAGGGCGCATGGTCGTCAGCGATGTTTCTGGAATTCTGGAAAAGGGCAAAGATAATGGTGGATTTTAATCGGAGAGTGAACCTCGAAGCTTGCCATCTCTATTTTTTCTCTCGATTTTTCGGTGTAGACAAGCTAGACAAGTTCCACAAATTCGGAAGAACGTCGCCGGAAATTGATGGAACTTTTTTCAAATATCATCCACGAGGTGCGAACATTTTCGTTTTTTTTCCTACCTTAGCAATTACTGTTAGAGTAATAAAAGTGATGATTTCTGGCATAGCGTTAGATCGTCTAGCCGGCTCCCACGCTGGCGTTTTTAGGGGAGCTAGTGTGGGAGACTATCTATCATCCGATCGCCTCCGTCGTCTGAGATCGTTTCCATATGACCGCTTCAAAATTTACACTGTTGTCCAGATCGTCCAAATAGAACTCAGTTATATTCTATCCATGGGATCGAGGTCGTCTAAGTCGTACGGGTCGTTTGCGATCATCTGGGTAGTGTTTCAATTACGATCGTCATTATCGTCTCATCATTATTTAAGAAGCCTGGGACAATCGAGACGATCCAGACTATCATATGGAAAGCAGCGGGGATTAAAATATAAACAAAACGTAAAAATAAAATAAGTACCTTTTTCCTGACTATCTAAAGCGCATTTTTCCTCTTCCGCTTCTACTGGAATGGCTTCGGCAGGTGTTATAGGCTCGATTTCTGCCGCACACTCGGTCCCTCCCGAGGGGAGGATTGCGGGCTCATTTCCCGAACAGCCGCTGGTAATTGAGCCTACGGGTTTCACTCGTCCGGGTTGCAAGGTAGGGTTTCTCTGTGTTGGTAACTGGTATATAAACCTTTCACCATTCCTGCCTGGATCAAAAAAATGCTTTAGAGCTTCCTCGTGAATTGGTCGGTGTTTTTCACTCCAGGAAAATATGAAGCTTTTTCTTCCATCCAAATATTCTTCGCTGAACTGTACAGACATAGCTCTTCGGGCCCAGACCGAGATTACTGACCGCTTTTCCTTGTCTTCGTTTTTGTAGTTGTCATCTCCTCCAATGACAATAATAACATTTCCTCCTACCGAAAAAAGAAGCGCTTTAAGTAGAATTAACCTTATTTTCGAGATCACTGTCTTTCGAGTATAAACATGCTACAATAGCCGTCGAATTTTCAGAACGATCATTCAATTCTGTTTTCATCTTCAAATCTGCTTGGGCTTGTGCAGTTCAGTCCAGCAGCACTAAAAGGAGGAATCTGGAATCCGGAATCCGGAAACGGAAACGGAATACGGAATCCGTGAAAGGAGGTTCCAAAAAAAATATATTAGCAATGACAATAAAACAAGACGCTCGGGGAACGAACGTACACTTCCGCGTCGTGGTTGTGGTTTAATTGTGAATGCGGAGGAATAGTAAGAAATGATATTTTTTCGGATACCCGGCCATACAAATACCATTACTTTCCTGCATTTGTGTAACAGACTTCTTAACTTCTTCCCCGGAAGACTGCTTGGTGCATGACCGCGTGGCTGTAACCCAATTCGATTATAATTTCTGTCATAAATAAATTGCGCACGACGAGATCTCAGTTACACATCCTTTATTTCCTCTACAACAACACTTTCCTTATGCACCGTTAACTATACACCTTCTCTCCAGCAACGTAACTAACTAACATCAGTACACTCCCTTACGAAACTTGCTGAAAATGCACAATCTCCACATCGAGGATAATTCATGTACAACGTCGCAACATAAACTAGAAATACGTATCTCGCAATAACCCTCGTGATACTCGGTTTTTTAGTAGCCTGCGTAGCAGGCGTCGAAAGGGGTAGGGGATAGGGAGGAAGAGAAAAAGGGAGGAGGATTTCCTCGATTTCGTGCTTTTCTAACTCCCCCTCCCTCTCCCCTTCCCTTTTTGCACCTGCCACGAAGGCTAGTGTTTTTTTAAAGCGCCACTCAAGTTAAGCCCTGTCAGGCGGGGCTAGGAACTGGATGGGTAACCCACCGCGAATATCGCCGTGAAGGTCCCTACTTTGTGCTTTCTTTTTTTTCTTCTTCTTCTTTTTGGCGCATTGAGTGGTGTTATTTTCAAAAGAGTATTGAAAAGCATATTTAGCATTATTTCGGCCGCTGGTTTTAGAAAAAAAAAAAAACAACACAAAAAAGCTTACTTCGGGCCTTAGTATTGAACTGAAATTTGATACCGACGGCAACCTAATAAATTTGGGTTTTCCAAGATATAAAACGCATTACAAGCTAGACGTCAGAGGGAAAAGACAAGGTTTCGACGGTAAAAAGCCAAACTGAAACGCAATTTGGAGAAACATGTCGCGCAACATAACAGGACATAAGGAAACTCGTCTGCGAAGTTAGACTCAATGAAAATTGCTCTTGTATGTCGATTTTCGCTCGTACTTTAAAGCTACTAGCCCAAATTGCTTCAACGTTTTCTGTAAAACACCTTTGCATTCAATATTTCTAGCCAGAATAATATATATCAAGGAACTCGAAGATATCTGGAAATAATTCCGTGGTAGCTTCGGGGCATTCGGAAACAACTTTGAAATATTCCTGAGCCTCGCGAAGCTTTTACTTCCCGTTCCGCCCAGGTAACAATCCGAAAAGTCACGACCTTGCGTGCCCAATCTTTTCCCGAAACAAGTGCATAATTTCATAGCTATTTCTCCAAATCAAAATTTCCTTGGGTCACAGTCGCGCAATCGCCTTATCACTCAACTTCGAGTCTCCTCTGATTTGACGGGCCGCAAGGGTGAGTCTGTTCAAATCCCGGGAAAGCCAAAATAATAATTCTTTCTTCCTCGAATAAATCAAAGAAATCGACGTGAACTCGAGATATCTCGAATTAATTCGGCTCTCACTTCGTTTAATAGCCGAATAAAACCGACAACCTACAAAAACTTTGGGTGCCCAATCTTGTCCCCAAAAAATCAACTTTGGGACATTCCCGGGTGGCACGAATTTTTTACTTTGCCCTCCGCCGAAGTAATAAATAAACAGACAAAAAGAGACATAGCTGAATAAATTACCTGGGCAGAGGAGACTGCTGTATGACTACAGGAGTAGATTCCGGTGAAAAGACTCTTCATACCACTTCCGGCAATGAATGCAAATTCTCATGGGACAGCAAAGCGAGGAGAAAAACGTCACTGACAATAACTAGTTGTTTTAGAAAGAGGTAAGTTATATGGAGACGGACTTCCTTCAACCCCTTCACTACCAAATTTAGCCAAAAGCAAATTTCAACCAAATGTCCCAATTTCATTTTCTCAAATTTTGAAACAAATAGCACCATGTGTAAGTACAGGCAGAGAGCTTTCATTTGAATAGTCACATCATAGGATTTTGTTCGCAGACTCAAAAGGTAGAGTCACCTCACAAAACTCTATCAAGCACTCTTACAGTGAAAGGTTTAAATCGACAGAGTCGTCGTTTACATAACTGAAAGGCGTCGTCGTCAAGATTTTCCTGGGTGTCTTTTCTGGGTTGTCTTTAACAGTGTTCAGTTTTACTTATCAAGACAACTTACTCAAGAGAATTATGGAACTGTGGAATCCAAAGAGAAGAGAGAACTGTGCAGACATTTGCTTGATTACGCAACTGATTACAGCAAAGTAATGCGCCGTGTTTAATAAGCCTCTTCAACAAAAATACGGATGTCAACGCAAACTCATTACACCAGTATTCCAGCTTGGCGATAAACTAAAGTTGAAACACGGGAATTGTGGTCACGCCAAGCGTCCGTCATGTGTTGAGTATTCAGTTTGGGGACAATTACGTAGTGTGGTCTGAGACCAACTACTACTTCTCTTGACATTTATCTAAAAAGGTAATATCTAACTGTATTATTCAACCCATAAACTTTTGAATAAAAATTACTCGTAAAATTACTTTCATCGGCCTTGCAGAGTTTGCAGTGCAATAACCTACACTATGGCAAACCCCAGGTCTCGGAAAACCCTATAATAGCAAGAATATATTCAAGGGAACTGCCAAGAAAACTAAAACAAATTCTGTTTGGATTGTACTAAATTATGCAATGTGAAATTCTTCAATTTTCTGTCATTGATATTTGATTCGGTATCCCGTATTCCGTTTCCATGATTCCGTTTTCATTTCCGGATTCCATACTTTAGCTACTGCTGCCCAATCAGCCTGGCGAGTTAACTCGCCAACGTGCACTCGTTAACCAGCGTTAACCATCAGGGGAAAATCTTTCCTGTATAGCGTTAGAATGTTATGTTATAGTAAAGGGCCGAGTTAAAGGTTTTTGGTTTTACATTTGAAACGTTTATTTGTAGTCACACTGAAAATACTACTGAATAGACCTTGTGGTAAACCGTGAAAAGTTCTATCGTTTATTTCGCGCGCGTGACAAAACTGTGCCACATTGAAATCCATCTTTCATGATTTTTTCGACATAAATCCCGAACACAAAGACCTGTTACTGATGAATATGCGTATTCATTACAACAACAGCAGAAAGTAGTTACAAGAGCTGTCTCAATTTCTTACCTGTAGCTTGCAATAGAGCTTTGTAAAGCTTCGTATATCCGCGGCCATCGTTTATCGACAGACTTGACTCTTGAGCGTGAAGGACGAAAACTGCAAAATCAATCTGCAGTGCAGGAACGATTTTTTCACTCAATTCAGCCATTTCAGAAAAGGAGAAGTAGTGATTCTCCACTATGAAATCGAAGCCCAGTTTCGGTTTGCAGGAGTATAGCAAATCCTCGATGACACGGAGTTCGTAGAGATGATCGCAGTTAAAAAGGTGGATCTTTTTCCGCCTTGACATATTTTCTTTTTGCAAAAGAAATCTTGTTCTCCACTAAAGAAAAGTTGATCTATTAAACAGGCGAATGACAACAACAAGCTGTGTCACTTTTCCGAGAAAAGACGCAGAACATTTGTTTGCCTTCGATGACGTAGCGTTATGCGATCATGTTTCAACTGCCGAGTTCCAAACATTCTCCCATTCAAAACGAAGCTAAGCACAGGTAGCCCAAGCTCGAAATATGAGCATCGGCGAGCATCGGCATTGTTGCGTAACATTCAAAATATAAGGATTTGTACGGGAAAAAAACCTATCATTTCCGTAACCTTTGAAAATGAAAGGTTTTTATGTAAACGGTTTTCTCTCTATAAAGGTTTACCAAGGTTGGGCACTCCAGCGAAGCGGCTCGACTGATCCACCGAAGGAAAACGGCCGGAAATTCGCTCCAACTGCTCCAATCGCCCCCAAATTCCGCCTAGGTAAGACACGATAGTTCTTCTTTCCATTCGGTATCTTGCTTCAAGACTCCTTTGCACCGAGACAGTCTATTACTCACGCTGAGACAATAGGAAAACAACGGGAGCTGACGGACTGTCTCCCACCCCGAGTGTGAGTAACTTGAGTCTCCGGCCATGTCGCTTTCTGTCAACGGTAACGCGCAGTTCAGGCCGAGCCTCAGTCGATAGCTTCAGACGGGAAAGGTTGCAGAGATTTGCGACCTTCACCTTTGATTCGATCTCGGTGCAAAGGAGTCTTGAAGCAAGATAACGAATGGAAAGAAGAACTATCGTGTCTTACCTAGGCAGAATTTGGAGGCGATTGGAGCAGTTGGAGCGAATTTCCGGCCGTTTTCCTTCGGTGGATCAGTGCAGCCGCTTCGCTGGAGTGCCCAAACTTGGTAAACCTTTGTATAGAGAGAAAACCGTTTACATAAAAACCCATGAAACGGCCATAAATCGGCCCGTGGAGCACACAGGAGAGACGTAACACACATTTTAAGTAAGGTAAGCTCTTTTTTATTGAAATCTTTTCATTTTCGAAAGGTTACAGAAATGATAGGTTTTTTTTCCCATACAAATCCTTATATTTTGAATGTTACGCAACAATGCCGATGCTCATATTTCGAGCTTGGGCTACCTGTGAGCTAAGTGCAAGACCTTTAGTTTCTTGTGAAACCTCCATTAAGCGGGCACCTTCGGCACCTTCCCAACTGTCCGCATAATAGAGTTTGTAAAAACTGTGCAATGTTTGCGATAAAGTTGGAAAGAACTTTTAGGTGAACTTTGATGGCGGATGACAATCATACGGCCGAGTATCAGTCTAATCTATAGTTTGTTGACAGCTAAATGCATTGATTTATCCTTACTAGTGGTAATCTCTGAAGTGCGTTCTAACTTTTTTCGGTTTACTGTCAAATGTGACATTATTTCCTAATAAATTAATGTTATACGGACAGTGTGAGGTTTTGATGAATCTGTGTGACAGGCGGCTGAAGACCACAATGGGTCACGCACAACTGCATACAAGAACGATGACTCGATTCATTTGGTTGGAGAATTAAAGTTGGCTTACTGCTGTAAATATCACAACAGCGACAGCTCGACAGAGACAAGTTTCGTCCAAGGAACTCAACGCCAAAGATGTCGTTTCTACGCGTCCTAGCAGTGTTGCAAAACGTTCTGAGGCTTGGACAAAAAGTTACCACGAATCCTTTAAACAACATTGTGCACGACAAATTACCTAGAGACAAAAAGAAGCAGCCCAAAATCAAGAGAAGCAGCCTAGATACTCGTTAAACTTTGCTTTAGAGAAGCAGTTGACCTCGTGGCAATGAATTACGTCATAGCGTAGTGATGACGCAGATTAAGCGCATGTATTATATTATAAATTCAATATGGCGACGAAAACGGCACAAATATGTGACCAACCAAAGGAATGTGAAGAATCTGGCAGAAAGAGCCTCCACATATGCTCGTAGCCGCGCTGCGAAATTGGTACCGCGCCTTAATCGACTGCAGTTCGTATTTAAAGGACGTAATCCAGTTGTAGTAGTTTAGTCCGGTGTCCGCTTAGTAGAGGTTATTATCGATAGAAATTAGCCAAGTACAATTTATTTTAGAGTCCGCGTCCGCTTAATAGAGGTGTCCGATGAATAGGGGTTCGTTATAAAGGGAAATATAAGACGTTAATTTCGGGACCTGGCTTAGTGTCCGCTTAGTAGAGGGTATCCGCTTAATAGAGGTTTCACTGTATTTGCATGACAATAACAAAAATCATTTATCAAAGGCTTTTCAGTTTATATCCTCGCTTTGAAACGGAGGCTTGGTTCTACTCTGGAATGGCTGTAACGACTACCCTTCGGATTAGAGGTATGAAGTGCCGAGGTAAAAGAAAGAGACAAAGGGAAAAACTGTTCCAGGCGTCAGAATGTGGGGTCGCCCGAGCAAAGAGAAGTCAGCACGAATAAAAAAAAAAAGCGATGGGTGGGCATTAAGAGACAGGTATTAAAGGAACAAGTGCAAAGTGTTTGTGAGCAATTGTGGAAAAGAAAACTCCCAATGCCGAGAAGTAAGGCTACAAGCAAAAATAGATAACGACGTCATTTGTTGCTATGACGACTCCTATGTCAGCCTAACATTGCTCATAACAAATTCTCATCTTTGTTTGATAAAGCTGTGGTAATCGTAGCCACCTTAATTATTTAGGCTTTGCAGGCTTTGTATCTTCCCTGACACGTTTTGTTTCACTGGCGCGTTTGCATTACTTGCTTCGTTGAAGAGACAACAGCAAGAATTGCTTCATCAAAGAGAAAAGCAGTGTCTAATAGGGTCTCCTAATGTGTCGCTATAAACAAAGATACACGTAGAAATACAAATGCAAGCGTGTAAGTGAACGTAGATGCAAAAGAATTCATGGGAGATTTTGAGTAATAATATCAGAAAAACACACTTTGAGAGTTTCTACTAAAAAGGTCATATTTATATAGGGTTACATTCCTTTAACTTTGAAATACATTAAACAAACTGAAAAGATATGCGTTACCATCATGAAAAAACTTGATAAAAATATATACAGAACTGGGACTATATAAATTGCACTTGTATCCAACAAAACTGAATTTTTATAGTTATATCGCGTTTAATTACTAAAAATAGAGACAATTTTGGCGAAAAATAGACTAGAACGCGCTCTCATTTTTTCTATTGTTTACGTTAACTATAAATACCAGTGAAATAAGTACAGTCGAACCTTTTTTCTTCATCCCGGTGGACAAAATTAAAAGTCCATACGTTGACTCTTGTTTAAAACCTCTCTACAAAGGCCCCCTTTTTACAACGGCCACGTTCTTCTGTCCCCAAGGTGGCCATTATAGAGAGGTTCGACTGTAGACCTTTTGAGCATTACATATGCAATGAACTAAAAACAGTTCCATGTGTTCAAAATTGACCTAGATTTTTCCACTTGCACACTTGGATGCATGCAAGTTTATTCTAAAAACGGCTGACAACAAAACGTCATTTACTGAAATCCGGGAAAGGGAACACCACCATATGCTCTACCCAGTAAGGGAAGAAGTCGAGCTAATGTCTCCTGTTCATAGCTATATGATACATGGAATCTTAAGTTTCCTTTCTCGTCAGAAATGATATTGAGTTCCCCACTGGGCATGTCCCTATGGCCACTTTCAATTTTTTGGAGAATGCACTCAGGAACGGTCCATTCTGGATACCTGAATTGAAGGTCGTTTTCCTCCATAGACACTTGGCCGTAACGAACACCAGTTTTTAGCATAAGAGCCTCATTTTCCGCTATTTCCTTAGCCTCCCGGGAATTTTCCTCAGCGAACCACTTTAGTACACCTTGATTTGACACGACTTTTACTTCAACTTTAGGTGTCGTTCCAAACTGTTTCAAAAGATCTTGTTCAACCTCCTCCGGAATCTGCGGTTCCGGCCGTTCTAGTCGTGTACGGAAAAGGCCTGGGATCAGATGTGGCAGGGGTTGCTCGACGACGACTACATCGCTAATCCTACCATGTTCAAGTTTTCTCCAGTCGAGGACAGTTTTTGAGCTTTCTTGCGACCAAGTATCTCTCGTTGATTTTGTGACAGGCGTGGAAACCGGTTCTTGAGCTGCCAAGATGCCTTGTTCAGCAGAGTTGATCGCTTCATCTATCAACTCGTAAGAATCCGTCGAAGTCGAGTTTGATAAGGAATGCTTTTCTTGATGCGCTTGGATACCAAGTGCTGGGTGAAGGCTAACATCACGACTCAGCAGATCAGCTAATGTAAAAAAAGGTGGACATCCTTCTCTTTCATCAACATTTACTGGACGCGTTATAGTGGCAGAAGCAGAGGCAGCAACACCCCTTGGCATTTTAGGGCAACTTCGCTTTGGTGATACCTGAGTTGAAAGTTGCCCCGGAATCAAAATGTGTGCCAAAATATCCGGGTCAACAGACAGCGCTCCACCTTTTAGCCACACAATGAATCCCTTTTCCCTTTTCTCAACCACGCCCTCAATGAATAGTTGGACCTCATTTTCTTGTGAGAAATGGCAGTCAGCACAGACCACAATTACAACCTTTTCAGCTGCAAAAAAGAAAAGAACATAACAATTTAAAGTTTACTATTATTTGTCTGGACTCAAAGCCAAGCAAAAAAGTAAGGAAAATGTTTTTTAATTATTCTGATAATTTACACTGATTGCGAACATCAACTTTTCCTTCCACTAGAAAGCTACGACTCCATTCATGCTTCTCAGACTCATTAATAATTCATAAAGAGAAAACAAACAAAATCCCAACCGTGACGGTGGTTTGGATATCGGATATTAATTACCATAAAATTTTGCAAACTTTATCTTTGAATTTCTCCAAGAATTAAGTTATTGTTAATTTGAGAAGCTATATACGCAATGTTTCATCCGATATCCAGCTACTCGAAGTCGGTCTTAAAAATCTCGGCTGCACCTTGTTTTTAAACCCACTTCTAGGTGTCTGATGGATATCGGATGAAACTCTGCGTGTCGTTTTTGATATATTACATGCAAAGTTCTTTGTGGCATCGTGCATTTATCAATTCAGAGCTGATAAGATGAGCATCACCCTGCTAGCAGAGTATTTCTCTCATTTGCTTGATTTGGCGTACTTGAGAGAGACTCTGAATGAATCGATCGAGTAAGATCTTTGTTGAGCATGCGCTGGAGGGATACAGTTTCGAACTAAGGCCTAAGAGCGATTGGTACAGCGCGCTCAGTTACTAGGACGTTTTTTTTTTTCTATTACAGGAATTCGCTTTCTTATTTTTTATTAACATTAGTGTTAGCTAATGCAGTCACTGTGTTATGTAAGCATTTCAGAACTAGGGGCAAAAAAGAACGAAGGGTCAGGATTCGAAGAACAGGGGACTAGCACTAAGCACAACCCCAACAAGAATTCTCAGGAGTAGCCTCAGGAATTCCCCCAGGGCAACTTACCAACTCTATCCAGAACTGTTTTGAAAAGATCTTTGTATTCTAGTTCTTCAAGAAGTGAATATCGACTGGCACGGTTTACTTCATCTGCGTCCACAAGCAACAAACATATCCTGGGTAAGTTTTCCCGTTCTAGGTAATCCTTGACTTGGGTTGGTGATGTTCCTTTAAGTCGAGTCGTGACAAATGTTACTGTGTTACCAATGATCTCTAAAACATGGTCCACAGCGTGCAACGACGTAGCTGATACATTGCAGCTAAGTAATGCTAAGGCTACAAGACAAAAATACTGCCAATCAACTAAGCTACATTGACTTGACTTGTCTTAAACAATGGATAAAAGGTGAAGCCTTTAGCAAGCACGCACAAATTTTCACTATTTTACAAGATCCTCAGTGGTTCACTAAATTACGGATTAATTCGAGTTACATTCCAATCAACAAATTCAGTTTTGAAGGAAATGAAATTAAACAAATCATTCATGCATATGGTTATCCGCTTTCCTTTTCTCACAAGAAGGCTTAACCCACATCCATAAATGCCCCTATTTGACTATAAGGACGCAAGGTCTTAACTTTAAATATAAAATCCTATCTACATTAGCGTATGTAAGGCTAGATTTGTTTTCGGTCCAGCGTTGCGTGACGACACTTAAAACGGCTGTGTAGCAGACTAAGATTTGTATGGCAACATTTTCTTCTGGTCTGAGTTGTTCTAAAGATGGATAGCACTATCAGCGGATAACACCAAATGGTTTTTGGTTTTTCTAATACTTAGCCGCTGGATAGTGATTTATCCAGTGGATAACGCTATCCACCATATGAACAACCGGGACCTCGCCTTTATCAGGGCTTATATATAAAACAATAAAATTTTTCGACCACTGGGAAAACGTCTTGCTCATGGGGACAGACAGTGACCACTGTAGACGTTCAATAACTACTTAAATTAGATGACACTCTTTAGTGCGTAGAAAAGGCAGATTTAACAAAGACAACGCTAAGACAGTCATCCTGGCTTGCACAGATCTAAAAGACGAATTGACCAATGGTTGAGCTTAAAGTTGACAACCGGGAGATGCGTTCAATCTTCGCTAAATCTGAGAGAAAGAGACATCTACCTGTTGTTATAGGCGTCTCATTCGAGGCATCGTGCTGTGTTGTCTCTGATGAATCTTGCATCGTTCTCAGATTTCCCTGGGGCCTTTCCGGGAATAAATTCGTTGAAGAACCTTCGAGCGATGCAATAATTGACGAGGCTGAGGGAGGTGATTCCAATTTGGTTGCTGAATTAAACAAACACACACAAAGATCGAAGAATTTCATATTTTGTAGCCATAAAATGTACGATCAGAATTACCATCAATAATACACAAAACAACTGGGCGAGATAATAAACAATTATTGGATTTGTCAGTGTCTCGCAGTTCGAATGTGGCAAATAATTGATTTGCGAGACACTGACAAATCACGATATTTTGCGACAACCGAGTACTATAATCGTTTTATTATTCGGTCACCGAGTTTGTCTTGGCCAATGAAAACACTTATGTCCAGGATCGATCTTGTTAGGAAATATTTGCTATGAAATGGCAGAAAAAATAGCATGGAGTGATAATGCATGGTTCAAATTGATTTGTAACCATGCCCCCTCCCACCTCGGGCAGACTCCCACCGGGGATTTGCAATGTTTTCTTTGTTGGAGGTCTATTTCCCACCCCCGAGCACGCAGAAAGAGACAATTTCCCACCTCCGAGCTCCAGATCGACCTCATGTACGTTTCTTGGGTACATCTTTTTGATCCGCACAAAAGCAAAACGAGACGTTTTCACAACTTTTATAAACGCTTTCTTGAGTTTTTTGAGAGAAGGATAATAGATGTCATAATGAAGTTAAATGAACAATAAATTTGAAAACGAAAACGAAGAAGAAAAAACTCTTTAAAAAGGGCCTCCTTGATAGAACACTTCATAAGAACACTGGATCGAATTTCTATTTCTCTATATATACCAAAGCTTTGTAATCGTTTTCATACTGATAAGTTTTCTTGTCATTATTTAAAGCTAGGCTGAAGAAATATGTCTGTCCTTCTTTTGGAGTACGCATCACAGGAACATTCGTTTTAAATTTTAAAACATACCTTTAAATACAGACTTTAATTGTGATAAGTTATTCTCAAACTCATTAATAATTCATTAAGAAAATACAAAGGAAATTAATGTTTAATGAGTGTTTGGAAATCGGATGAAACACTGCTTAGTATTTGCATCCTTAATTTCTCCTTAAAAAATGATTTTGTTTGAGAAGAAATATCAAACATTCGACACAGTGTTTCATCACCAGATGAAACACCTCGAAGTTCGTCAAAAATACTCCGCTGCGCGTCGTATTTTCAACTCTCTTCTCGGTGTTTCATCTGGTGATGAAACACTGCATCTCATGTTTGATATATTACTTCCTGTTCAACCACTCTCCGACAACTTCCTGCCTTTTTCCTTGAAATACGTAGTCTTGCGCTCCGCAGCCATCGTGTAAAACGCGCGAGAAATGACACGTACTTTTCGCAAAATCAAAGATAAGATATTTTTAATTTGCCCCATCCCCTACCCCCGGGCCCGAAGGGCTGGACTTGTCCCGAGGGTTGCCCGGGGGGGGGGGGGTAACAGGTCATACTGAACCATGCATAATGCGTCATATTTACATTTCACCGCCACAACTGCGTTTTGACATTTTCAGTCAAAATTGTGAAAAATGTCCCAATCAGTTTTGTCACCAAAAACACAAATTCAACTTAAAGCCTGCTCTTACGCAAAATTTCTTAACAGGCGCTTGTGTTGATGTTTTTTTTTTCTTGGTTTGTTTATTGTTTTCGACTGATAGGTCTCTCTTACATTTAATACCTTTGAACTGTTTCTCATTTGGAACTTGAGGTACTTTCCTCTTCGACAAAGACAATGGCGCCTCTTGTGCTAAAACAAACAAATAAATAATACATATATAATTAACTACCCTTAGGGACCGGTCATTATTTATCGCCTTTGGGGGGGTCACTTGATTTTTAGGAGAACAAAAGGGAAGATTGTACTGTCGCAATTTGTAATAATCATCGCACTTTGTAATACCTGTCGCAATTTGTAATAAACCGTGTCGCACAAAAAAGCTGTCGCAATTTGTAATAACTGTCCATCGCACTTTGTAATAAACTAAGCTGTTGCAATTTGTAATGATTCCATCGCACTTTGTAACAATTTTTTGAGAGTAATTAAACTTACTTCGTCAACAATAATATAATGCCAAAATACGCATGGTACTTCATAAACAAAGATGATGACGTCTGCTAGCACGTACGTAACATCTCCGCTCATTCAAACTATTTAACTTTATTCACAGTCCTAAACATTTTTTAAAAATTAATGTTGTTTAGTTATCTGACTTACGAAATGCTGCATTCTTAAACCTTGCTATTGTACTAGGTGGTTTGCATTCAATGGTTACCCGGCGGGTGTTCTTCCTTATATGGCCAATACGGGTATGTGCCTCTGGACAGAGCATTAGTTGTCAGAGTACAGGATCTAGAGACACTAGATACAAACGAGCCATTATTAAAAGGCATTTAATTTCCGCAAATCGTAACATCCATCCTACATCATTCGTATCAGGACACCAGAAAAGTTCAAGCTTTCCTTGTTAGATCTTATAACAGGTCGACACAACACGTGGTGCACCGTCCTTGTCTAACGCTCAATCTTAAAGAAGTAATAGTGGCTTCCATATTTTGGCCAAGTTAATCAAACGAGGCCTGGAAAGATTCAAACTGTTCACTGCAAATAAACCAAAAAACGTCACCAGTGACAAACCGTCGAACCACAACAGAAACATAAACACAAAATCCCAATTAGTCGCAGGCCAATACCTTCAACGTATGTATTTTTTTTACAAAACTCACTTGGGGTCTTACGCTGAGCCGGCTGGCCATTTGGTCCATTATTCTCACTTGATTTGATCCCATATCAAGGAACAAAAGGAGTACTCATTCCATCTTAACACAATTTTTTCTATATGGAAACCTCTAAAGCAAATACCGTGGGGATAGTAAAAAATTCTCCTTCCCTGCGTATATACAATACGTAAGACCTTGCAATTCTTCCGAGCGTGTTCAGGATTACTTTTTTTCCACAAAATGGAAAGGATGGAATAAACCATCCATTACTACTTGAGTTACCCTATCTAAGGATACAACCAAAGACGCAAGGACAACAAGGCAAAAAATGATGCCCCATTAAAGGCTCGATATCCTCCCATACCCTATGAGGCGGTACTTACCTATCTAGCCCATCCATATATGGGATTATCCCCCCACCCAAGAAGACTTCACGTGTCACGTGGCAAGCAAACATGGATTTGGACGACGAATGCCAGGTTATTCATGAATTATCTGTCGTTAAATGTTGATTTTGTTATTTAAATATTGTTGAATTTAAACATGATTCATATCTTTTTGGTGATGTCACAGGAAGTTTCATGTCTTTTATAAACGCGATTCTAGTTGGTCACGTGATTAATAAGGGCAGAAAAATTTATAGCGGAAGACATCCATGTTTGACCAAAGAAAATGTTACGGAGATGTTACGTGCAGACGTCATCATCTTTCTTTATGAAGTACCATGCATATTTTTGCATTACATTAATGTTGACGAAGTAAGCTGAATCACTCTCAAGAAAGTATTACAAAATGCGATGGAATTATTACAAATTGCAACAGCTTAGTTTATTACAAAGTGCAACGGACAGTTCTTACAAATTGCGACAGCTTTTTTGTTACTAAAGGGCGATACGGTTTATTACAAATTGTGACAGGTATTACAAAATGCGATGATTATTGCAAATTGCGACAGTACAAGGATCAATTCGTAACTGAGAACCCAAAAGGGGGGATTACTGAAAACTTTGGAAGGATTCAGAGGGGGGACCACTCAAATTTGCTTGGAAAATGAAGACATGGCGGGAGGGGGGGGATCGCGAAAGTCATGAAATGTTATTAGGGGAATCACTTCAGTGAAGTAACATTTAAAATGGGGTTCGGAAAAATTTCACCTAGTTTAGCCCCAAATCCTGAATAGTTAAAGATGCACATTTATGCAAAAAAAGAAAACAATTATTTTAGAGAAAATGAAATGGTAGAAAATGTGGCTAACAGGCCACTGGAAACTACAAGGCATTTGAAAAGGAGGTCTCCCAGAGACAGAATCATATTTATATCTGAAAAGAAGGAAAATAAGATAGAGATACATAAGACCAAAATAAAGACACAAAGTAATAGTGTTTATTATCATATTGATTTATGAAAAAAGGGGGTTTTCTTTCCTGAAAGATGAAGTTGCCAATACTGTTAAAGCTAATTGTACACAGATACCTTCTGTACTTATCAGATTTGAAAGACTTTTCCATTGCTTTATGGTTGACATCAAATAATTTTAAAATAATACAAAGTTATTGGACAAAACTAATGAAAAGGGAGAAGATTTATAAATTGTACAAAGACAAAAGGGGACCAATTACTACCCCAACTGTTTTTTACAGAACATCTGCAAGGTAAAACATCTGTTTACGTGCTGAGGCTGTCAAGGAACCAAAAGGGTGTTATACACGACCACCAAAGTCTAGTTTGGGCAGATAATACCCTCTAATAATGATAATCATCGTCATCATCATCATTATCATCATAGGCAATGATAATCAAGACTGAATTTATTCCATACCTGTTAAACTGCTTTGGTTTGTACTTGAAGAGGATGGTGATTGATCCGTTAGTCTCACATCTTGTTGATAAGCTGAAGTTCCAGAAGGAGTCAAGGAAGCAAAATTGTCAATCTGACAATGAATTGAGGGCCCCTCTGTTTGATTAAAAATAATATAATTCAACCACGCTATAACACTTTTAACATAAGTAAAATCGTCAGACCCACTGATTCTGTATGTGATAAGCAATATTCTCCTAGTCTCATTAGCCCCACCAGAATTAATGCATTCAAACGTTGACAAATGCTAGCTTTCAACTAATTTTCACATGGGCCATTACTGTGGCGATTAATGATAACTGAGACTTCATATCACTTCATGACTTGTGTAAGATTTTTACCACTTTGCCATCAACACAATAGTTACATAACTGGCAGCAAGTTGTCAATGTTGTACCAAAAAGCTTTTTTGTTTTCTGTTACTTTACTTGGGTGTGTGGGCATACATGTGGGTATGTGTGCTTGAAGGACGAGCATGCAGTCAAAGTATTTTTTTAAAATCAAGTTGGCATTTTCTGAAAGACTTTTGAACTAACTTTCTCCTGGCCGAAAATCCAAATATTGCGAATACAAATCCACTTGGCTACTCACATGCTTGATGACTCTAAACACTCCTAGTCATACCTACTCCCATGAACACTACCTACAAACCCAAACTAGGAATTCCTTTAATTACTGGTAAGTAAGAGTTACACTAAATTTAATAAATATACATTGCTTACAGCAGTCTGCCAACATTGCATATAAAAAAATACTGAATACCAAGACTCACTGTGAGGCAAGGACTGCAAGATCTCCACAAATTTCCTACACTGCTTTTCCCAGCTGTACTTCTCTGCATAGCGTGTTCTTAGTTGCTGACACTCCTGTATTGCCTTTTCACTCCCCCTCTCCCGAATGCGTCTGATGGCCTCAGCCCAGCGATTTGGATCCTCAGAATCTACTACGAAGGATGTGCCAATTTCACGTAGTGCCTCTCCAAATCCACTATTTTGACTTACAAGAAATGGCAAACCAGCAGAAAGTGCTTCTAGTGCTGTTAAACCGAAACCCTCGGTTCTGGAAGGTATTAAGACAAGGTTTGAGGCACGCATGATTGCCTCGAGAAAATCTCGATCCTCCTGATACCCTATGACAATCAGTTGGCTTCGATCCAAGCCTTGCTCAAGCAATTTATCTATTAATTGGTTCTCGCTCTCACTGGATGCACCAACAAATGTCAGATGATAACTCTTGTCGGCCAGCTTGGCAATTGCTTGAGCAGCAATGTCATACCCTTTAATTGCAAAATCCTCTTCGTCCCCTCGACCAAAAACTAAAATACGAAACTTTGCACCAGTCTGACAAGAAACTCTTATGGACGATAAGTTGTGAAAGATTCCAGGGGTTAAGTTGTAAACTCTTTTCCCCCGCTGATTCAAGTAGGCTGAATAAAATTCCTTTAGTTTGGGTCCAATAGCTATGACAAGGTCAGCCTTTTCGCACAGGCTTAACTCGTTCCTTTGCTTTTCATCTCCCTTAGGAATGGCACCTGGGTAACTTTTAAACATTGCAAGTTCATGAGGGGCAGTATGTACAACTTGCACCCATTTACAATTGTGTAAGCGTCTTATTATCTGCGCCTGCTTTCCAAGAACTACACCATGTCCAACTACAAAATCAATCAGTAGACTCTCGGGTGGGGACACCAACCGCTCAACTCCTTCATAACCAGTTAACATTTCCGCCTTTATTACATTTATACCATACAGGTGAGCTGCTTCTTTGTCGTTCTCAGAATATTCTGGAACAAGGAAACTGACTGACACATTAGGTTGCTTGGCTAACTGTATGGCTAACTCCCTGTTTATGGTTGACAGACCTCCTTTGGAAGATTTCCATTCACTTGCCAAGAGGGTAATATGTAATATGGAAGACATGGTATTGTCTGGAACAAGTTCGCTTTAGAACCATCTAAAAAAATTCAAAAGAAAAAAGAAATGGGAAGGCTTTTAAAATGAACAAGAAAATATTATGTTCATAAGTCCTTTTAATTTAGATCACTTCTCTCTTAAGATCTTCCCTTACATCCTGTCATCTTTCATCTGTAAGATTGTTGTCAGGACAAAGCGGGAAAAATATATGTACAATTTTAAGTAGCCTGTTTAGCAGGCACTCGCAAGTAATATGGGTGCAAGAAAGAAAGGGGAGTGCAAGGGGAACAAATGCTTGCAAGTAATAAAGGTGCAGGAAAGAACGAGGACATTTAGGGTGACACATGAGGATAGAGGGAGCTCCCTCCTTTACATGTTTCCATTGTCCACCCTGTTCTCTACTTATCAAACCCATAACTTCCAAGCACCTACTGTGCAGGTGCAAGTTTTTCATAAGAGACAAAATCCATAACATCTGGGCTACTAAGTTCAACCTGACAAAATTAAATACTTCAAGATACTCAAAGGAAATGCAACTTTTCATTCAAACTATCAATCAATTAACCTTAATTTGCTCCTGCAATATTGTTTACAAAGTTATTTGAGAACGCAAAGCTACATGTATTTGTATCACTTACTAAGGCTGTGTTCAAAGAAAAATACACCCTTCCACGATTTTTCAATTTTTGGTAAAGAGCTCTGCATTTGAATATATCCATTGACACTGCTAGAAAGAGGTGATACAGCTTTACGTCCAAAGGGAGCAAAGAAGTGATATTGGTCCACAAAGTCGTGAAATAGTGCAGTGCAGATTCTAAAAATAGTTTATGTCAGATGAGAGCCCACGCATGACTCAGACAAACCTTGGCGTTTCACTCAAAGCAATGTTTTTCACGCATTTTTATTAGGAAATGATCAACAGCAAACGTTGTAGCTGGGAAGAATGTAAGAGGGACTCACGATCCCTGAAAAAAAATTGGTCTGAATAGCAAAGTATGCTGTGTTTCATGGAGTGACCTGGCAGCCGGAAATGTTTTGAAAAAGTAGAAACCCTCCGGGGGGCGGAATTTTCCCGGCTACTAAGAGAGTATTTGCTACTTTTATTGGAAAGTAGAAGAAAAATAGAACCAAAAGAAATCCCTAGCCATTTGATTCCCCTCCCACTTGTTGTATTTACACTGGCAACTTGAAATCTTAGTGACAACCTTGATGAGGGCAAAAATTAAACCCCAAAAAAAGACCAAAAAAAAAACCCACACTGAATTTCCAAGCTGTAAAATTTCCAGAAAGCATTAAAATAAGCACTGATATAACTATCACAAATCTTCAGACTGTTTTGAATACTCAAAAAAATCCCTATCTAAATCAAGCTGCCCAAAAAATACTTGCTAAAATTTTCCTACCCCAAAACGAATTCCCGAAATCAAATATTTCAAACCCAAAAAACTCCTTCAATCATCCCTGTCACTTGAAATCAGGAGTTCCCCCCTGGGTTAGATACAGTTAAGTAGAGGGAAGTCTGAGATTTAATCCATTTTCACAAATTCTCCGACTTAATTCTTCTAAAAAATGTTTCTTTAGAAATCTCAAGCGTGTTCAAGCATTGCCTTGGGTTTGATCAAGAAGTAGACTCAATCGTCAACCTTGGGCATAATTATAATGAAATGTCAAATGTCTTTTAACACTTCACCGGCAAGACGCACTGAGTGAGCTTTCAAAGGATATACATGAAAAGGAAAATTATCATTGAAACCTCCCCAGAGCATTTGATGTTTGTTCGCAAATGTCAAGCAATTCTAAATTTAGGGTTTGCTCTTGTGGTGAGCAAATTCTCCAAGCGTGAGGATATTCGAATCTCGAATCCTGGTGACGGTTTTCAGAATGCTAGCTCGGCAGTATGGTCTCTCTGTTTTTCATGAAAATCTGAACTTGTCAATTATCTGGCATGAGTACATGTACAACTGTACGACTCTTTCTACTTCAGCACACAGAAATCGAAATTTCTAAACAAGTATCAAATTTTCTTAAGAGAATTAGATGAGAATTCTTAAAAAATTGGATGTGCGAATATCAGATTGTCGGGTATCTTGTTCATTTCCTGGTTCTTTGAAAACATTTACCAACTGCAATGAGGTATTGACTCACAGCGTTTAAAAGTCCTCTCATTTTCCACTCTACTTCAATTCTTTGAGTACTTTAGCCGTATTTTGATTTTTTCTACATTATATTCTCCTGAATCTTTTTAGAATTTCGAAACTGGATTAGTAGTTCTGTTTGGTGATGCCGAATGGCAAGGTAAATTTTTAATTTTTGAATTTGTATATTGAAGCATCAGCCAATTCCAGCTGTGCCCAGAACCCCCCCCCCCCCACACACACACACACACACACAAGGCATTAGCATTTTTTTTGCCTTGGATGGCAAATTCCTGGGGGTGGGGACTTTTGAGCTGTTAAATTCCCCAGGGTGGGGACGAAAAAAGAGGGCAAATGCCCCATCCTCCAACAGCACTGCAACATTTTTCATTGACTGCACTGTCTAATAGTGTCATTTTAAGCATTTTAATGTGCGATTTTTTGTTTCAATTCACATCTTCCTTTGTAATAGCGCTAGGATTCCAATCAAGACTTCACGCCGCGATGACACCAGTTTATAGTCTTGTTATAAAATTATTGACACTAAAATTAATAGTGCACTGTAAAGTTATATGTTATGTCATAAAATATGCAAGGATATTCTTCAAATGATATCAACAGAAATTTGATTCAATTTAACTAAAGAACGTTGAATCACGTCGATAGCTCCCGCTTTCGCTTCGTAATTCTGGCTTAATAAGCAACAAGAAATGCATGCATAAAATCGAGAACAGGCCTTTATGACCCTCTTCAATTTTTTCCTGTCCTTGATAGATGAGCTGATATGCTTGTTTTTTCCAGCAAAATCCTCTGTGTAGTTATATTCTGATAGGAAACCGCGTGCATGTCAAAAGTTTGGGAATAGCCCCGGGGTTGGCAAATGCCCAGCCCCTGGGCAGTGCAAAATTTGCAAATGCCCCACCCCCAGGACTAACAAGGCGAGCAAATGCCCCGCAGTAGCCCGGGAGGGCCTGGGCACAGCTGGAATTGACTGATGCATAAAAGGTACAAGAAAGAATTGTGAAAGCTGTCTGGTTATTATTTTTTACACTATATGAAACAATGAAGCTGCGGTAAAGCTAACTTTGTATGGGGTAAAAAGAAGAAGTGGTATTCAAGATTCCTTTCTATTTTACCAGTGGGCCAAAGTTGTTCACATGGAAATAATATTCTTTTCAGTGGTGGATCCCCATCAAAATGACTAAACCATTCTGATACGTTCGCATTGTCTTTTGCTCGAGCAAGCTAGTGTTATTTGATTTTTACGTTTTAAATCACAAGCAACATTACTGTCTGATTTACGGCGTAACTTTTTACAAAAGAAACAAAATGTAAGCCCAGACATTCCAAAAATTCAAAGTTTTCCGGGGGGAATCCCCTAGATACTCGCGCCATCGACGGCGCGAATATTCGCACCGTTGTTCTGAAATGCAACTTCCTAGGGAAAACCTTAGCTTTAGGCCTGTATCATTGCTGAAAAGTGGTCTTGTTCATTGTAAAATTAACTGCAGACTACCTACCCACTTCAGGCCAATTCAGTAAGTAAAAGTCTTATCTGTATCCGAACGCCTTGAACGAGGCATAACACAACGGATCCTTTCTTATTCATTGAACAAGCTAAGATGTAGATGAAGTGACCGGGTATTCTGCCGTCCAACTTTCTTCGAACATTCTATCAGGTAAAGAAGAAAGCTCGTTACCAAAAGTTCCACTGAAAATTAAAAATAAAGATCGAAGCAATGCTTACAAACTTACCAAAATAGGTACGGTCCGTATCTTGAGTCTTCAAGTGTTATCCTTAAAGAGGACCAAGATGTGATGAACGTCTGTTAAGTTTACCAAACTGAGTAAAGGAGAGCTGAACAACCTAGTGAACGTTGCCGTGTGTCAGGGATTACTACAAACTCACCAAACCAAACGTCCCAAAACCACAAAAGCTACAGGACAAATAATACCGATGGATTGTGGGAATGAAATCAGCTTCCACGAAAGTCACGAAAATTATACCACAGGGAAACGAGGCAGCGTCATGTCACGCCAAAAGGTGAAAATTGATTCCTAGCTATAAATCACTGTTCACTGGAATATCATTGGAGTGACAATCAACAGGAGCCTATTACCCTATTACTACAATCAATAAATTTACAGCAGCAATACACTCAATAATTGTACTGTATTTACAGATTTTCTCATGCAAAAAATTATATCCTTTTCAAAATCTCAGCCTAGGGTTTATTCTTAAAATATTCTTAATTTTTGCAAATTTCAGCTTCGATATTCTCATAAAATATATTCTTATAAAATAAAAAGAGGGCACCATATTTAGTAATTTCATATTAGATAGTGACTTTTTTTAATTCGGTCTTAAGTATTTCCTTGAGATTGTTTGTACAAAAATTACCCTATAGTTCTGAAATTATACATGAAATGATATGAAATGATACATGAAATGATATAATGGTTTAGTGAGGGGAGAGGAGGTTAATCTAAAGTTCCTTCTGATTCTCTTTTTAACTTTGCAGCACATTCAATACTTTGTTTTTTCTGTTTCATGTACTTGAGTCATTTGAGGGATTTTCTCAAAGCATACCCTATCTTATCAGGGGCACCCAACGACAATTTTCAGAAAATATCTGTTCGGAAGACGATTTGAGATCTAGAATTTTCGGAACATTTGTTGTAAAATTTCTTGCTTGCCTGCCTCTCCTACGATTTTCGAACATCTAAAAAATGGTATAGTTGCCCATTTTTTAACGGATTTTTACCCTTAAAAGGTCACCTAGAATTTTCCGGGGCCTTTGGCTGACGAAATTTTCGAAAAGTTAAGTTTTGATCCCTATAATTTTCGCATCACTAGACTTTCAGCTAAGAAATCAGAACAGATGAAAAATTTTTAGGGGATAAAAATATGCCTATATCTACCGTTTAAAAACTAAAATACGTTTAACAATCAGTGAACAATGCTGTGTTTAAGAGGTTTTGAACTATATTTTCGTTGGGTGCCCCTGTCTTATGTACACACCCTTATTAGCAACTCGATTACCCTCCTCTGGGTGCTCCTCTCCCATCACTAAACCATTATAATCATTTCATGTATAATTTCAGAACTATAAGGTAACATTTGTACAAAAAATCTCAAAAACAATGTACAACTTCAATTACTTGTGCAAGTTATGAATCTGATGTACAAGACAGTTATTGTCCCTTGAGCCCAATCCACTGAGCAGTTCTTTCTACGATACCACCCTTGGCTTATTTGGCCTAGATGGGTATGTGCTGCCGATTTAGGGTGGTGACCATTTTACCCTTTAGGGTTTTGAACAGGGCGTCTGTTTGGGCTGTGAAGATTGATGAAGAGCAGTCTACGGTTATATTCTTGGTACCGACAATTTTTTTTTTGTTTTTAAGTTTAGATTTAAAAAAAAAGGTCTCTTGGCTAAAAAAGGGTATTGAAATGAACAATGTCTCCTACTACCCATACTCTCTTTCAGTGCAATCCCAGGGAGGAGATCTCGCGGAGATCTCGCATTTCCACCCCGGGGGGGGGGGGGGGGCGGTCAACAAATTCACGGGGAGGCTTCGCTCCGAGGTCCAACCTGTTACCCTTTTTGTATACCATTTTTCACGAAAAAGGTCCCCTTTTCGTGTACCTTCTATTGATAAATATTACTCTTTTCACATACCTTGTTTAGAACTTTTCATCCCGTTTTACTGCTGTAAATGCATGGTCGTTTAAATGGGAATCAATCACAAAAATAGAACGTTTTGTCGACTTAAAATTCATCTGTTCGGCCCTTTGGGTCCTTTCACAGACCCAAATGACAGATTTCCCGACCCTTTCGTATACTTGAACGAGTAAAATCCCTACCCTTTCATATACCTGAAGCCTTCTACTCGACTAATGGCCACGGCACTTTAATATTACGAAGACTAGACTTTTGGGTCTTTCACTTCTTCATACGTACGCGCATTGGAGGGTTCGCCCTTCTTTTAGTCTTGTGGGTCTTTTTAACAGAAAACACAGCTTGAGAGCCTGCATTTAGCGAGGTGAAGTGACTCAGAATGTCGGGCATGCATAGTGAATGTATGGGGTTATACGGAAATCTTGCAGAAAGGGAAACGCAAGCTCCACATTACCGCGGAAAAAACAATTGGTTACAGCAAAGAAAGAAACGACCAACAGGACAAAAAGCGAATTCATTTCACATTGTCGAATTGCTGGGAAGACAAACTTGATCTCAGCCCGTTTTGCGCGTGCTCGCTACATGATTGACAGATTTCTTAACTGGGGCGATCATGGAAAGCCGGAAAGCGGCAAGATCAAAGGCCATTGCCAGCCCCCGCAGAGTTCAGTGGTCGGATTCTGGCTCTTAGGGCAAGACATTTGTCTAACGTAGGGACCGCGGAAAGGGTGGGGCTGGGGTAGTATGCCCCGGGGGCGAGGGTAGTATGTTTCAGGTGATCAGCTTGTGGGAACGGCGAGTCATTCTCCTCTCTCGATAATAATAACGCAAAAAAAGAATTTGTTAAGAATCAAGATATTCTCTTGTAAATTAATTTACTTTTGGATTAATGTTTCTCACTTTGTTAACATCCGGGTCCGAGAAAAACTGTGTTGTTATTGAATACCTGGTCGAACCTCCATGTGCGACCACCTCTTGTAAGCGACAACCTCCTAAAAGCGACCGCCAATCCAAAACACCAAAATTTTCCAAGTCAAAGCCTTACAGTAGGAGCCTCTCGTAAACAACCACCTCCTGTAAGCGACCACGACCACTTTAATTTTTGGGCCTGACGGCAATGATTTTCCATTTTTTTAACCTCTGGTAGGCGACCACTTGACGCATTCTCTAATCTCTATGTGCACTATATATTATGCGACTTGGAATATACGAAGAACTTTAGTAACAACATGAAACTACACAGGAAGTAACTCAGACATTGCATGCAATAAATTATCCTTCCATGAACTAGATGTGCCTGGACCTCTTCTCGGAAGAGGCCCCCTTTGTTTCGATTCCTGTAAACGACCACCTCCCGTGGAAGCTTACCGGAGGTTCGACTTTTGAGCTGTTCTTGCTTTCGTCTATTAACGCGTCAAATTACCATCAATGCTAAGTGCAGCTATGATTTATAAGAATAAAGAACAGTAACCTGGTAACATGAATGGGGAACGTTACAAAGTCTGATGAAAAGCGTCATTGTCAGAGTTATTATTATGCATCGAAGTCTGCTTAACGTACGTTAACTTTAACAAGCTAATAAGATAAACAAAGAAGAAATATAATTCAGATTCCCTTGAATAACTTTGTGATAAAGGTCAAACTCCGCCCCTCCTTGAGAGCTTTAGAATCAATCAATCAATCAATCAATCGATCAATTAACCAGTCAATCATATTTACTTAAACACGAGACAGTGAACCAAAAAGAAGGTTCGTTACAAAAATGCAAGTGTATCTACATAATCTAAAAATGAATAAAATTAACTATCTACGCTATTCAGTTGTCAACTAGGAAAATTAACAAGAGGAGAGATTGCAGCGACATTCGTCTAGGTCTAGGTAACCGGTTAAGTTCTTTGAGCTTGGTAGCCCTACCCCCAAAAAACTTAAGATCGGAGGCCTCCATCACATGAGGAGGTAGATTGTTCCAGAGTCGACATGCAATATAAGAGAAAGATTTGTACCGTGTGCTTAAAAGTAGTATTACTCTGGGGCCGGCTGATTAAGTCTGCTACTATTACCACGAAGATTGTACTCACAGTTTTTTAATATCATAATAATATATACTTAGGATAGCCTCTGAACATAAGTGTGAGAGCTTGGACCAGACGCCTATACTTGATAATGTCTAAGTTATACTGTGACAAAATCTCCCCGTAGCTGATAAACATGGGCAATTTAAAAAGAGCTCTAAGTACATATGATAACTGTCATTTTCTAACTTTTTTTGTTAAGGTCTAATTCATTCCAATTAACAGATGGCTGCAATAGTCGAAATGGGGAACTATATACGTCTCACAAAAAAAGCGCGGTGTCGCTATCAATAAAACTCTTAATTCTGGGAAGGGCGACTACCTTCGCAGGAATTTTACTAAGAACAGTAATTAAACATGTGGAGAGAAAGTAATCTTATTACCCATCTCAACTCCCAGCAACTTAAGTTCATCGATAATCTGTATATTACTTCAGTTCATGGTGAGTTCATTGTTACAGGTAGATCAGGATTTACCCTTACGAATCATAGCCTGGGTCTTAGTGGCATTGAAAAATGCGCCATCTTATTAGTTAGGCTAAACAGAGTTTATTTTTATATTGTACCTGCTGATTATTTCTTCGAAGTCAAGAAGGCCAGAAGGCCAGAACCATATCTCTCACTCCAGCTACTGCAGCTTCCTTAACCCCCTCTGTCCTCTTTACAGTGCATCTTAAATTTCCTTTTTCGTCAGAAATGATAAAGAGTTTGCCGTTAAACGCCTTCCTTCTCAGGTCTTCAAGTAAGTACACAGGTACTTGCCAATCAGGGGGATATCGAACCTCAATGTGATCCTCATGAAAAGATACCATACCATTGATAACACGAGTTTTTAACAAAAGTAAGTCATTGTCGGCCATCTCTATTCCTTGGTCACCGACATAAACTATCTGCGATTTATGGCTTGCGATTGACATGATTTTAAGTTTTCTCTCATCGATGTGTTTGTATGTTTTTAGAAGAACTTGAGCAGTGTCATCAGCGATTTCACAGAATTCTTCGCTAAGAAATTCAAGATCTGCCGAGTTGAATGATATGTTACCATAGCGTAGTTTACTTTTAAGCACCAATTTTCCAATCATACGGTTTTGTTTGGTGTTGTAGGTTGGAGTTGCAGCCACAGGAAAGGATACTCGTTGTTGCTGCAGATTCTCATTTTCCCAGCCATATCCCGGTTTTCTTTCTGTTGGCTGTTCCACTTGACGTCGTCGATCAAATGAGTGTAAAGGGACACTGCTCTGTCCTTGAACAGCCCCTTGGGGGCTGCTTGGTGTCACTACACACGACATGGTGAATGCGGGATTCAGAAGCTGCGCCAAGACATCAGGGTCTACCGTCAGTCTCCCATTCTTCAACCAAGCTATGAATCCTTTGTCTTTTCCTTTGAACGTACGGTATATTGTTTGATGGATTATGTCTTCGTCCTTCTTAGGCAAAGATAGGCTACCGCAGACCAAAAAAATCACCTTTAAAGCTAATAAGAAAAGAAGTCAAACATGAGTAGTATAGGAGGGATGTAATACTCCGGATTTTTGCGCAGGAATCTCATTAACTTGCGCAGAAATACATTAACGCCGATGACGTCATAACCTTTTGTCTTTATCTCTTGAATAAAACCGGTTAAACCAACTAAAAATAGCACATGACCTTATCTTAATGAGATCCCTGCGCATTCTGTTCAAGAGATAAAGACAAACGTTATGAAATCCGGAGTAAGGCATCCCTCCTATACTGCTAACATGACACAAGTAAGAGGCTATTCTATGATAAGTTAACATAAATAAAATGAGAAATCAGAAGACCCGTTGTGAAACCTTCGTGTTAACCGTGCGTGGGCTCCAATGCTAACCACTAAATGTAGTTTGTTCTATGGCGACGGCTATTTTTAAGTCACATCGATAATGAACTTTCCTCAAAGTTTAGAGTCACACAGGGATCAATACTAGGCTCAGTACCCTTTTATTGATAATACATATGAATGATCTTCCTTTTCACTTAAAGGAAGCACAATTCTGTGAAAATACGATGGTTAGAAAGTCGGAACCTGTGACATTAAGACTAAATCTCTTTTGAATGTTGAAACTAAAATGGTTCTAAATCAAGAACAAAATACGGCTATGATTATGGCGTCTTTTTACTTAAAAGTAAAATATCAAAGTTTCAGGTCATCTTAGTAAAACTATCACTGGGCCTCAACTTGAAAGACAATCGGAGAAATTATATGGTGTTATCGATTACATCGCTAAAGTTATCCCAACGAGTGGGTATCCTAAGACGTATTAGGGAAAATTAAACGTGACATACGAGACCCGCTTATAGCCTTCTACAAATTTGCTTCATTCTGTCACGAATGGATTACTGCTGCATTGCATGACGCAGAACCACAAAAAAAGAAAATTTCGTAGGTTTTAACGTGTACAGAAAAAGGCTGCTAAAGCTCCCTCGTGCCGCTACTTGGATGGGTCAGATTCAATCTTAAAAATAATTGAATCAAATGAGCACGTTCTAAAATTACCTTCAAAACTTTGAACGTGCCTACTGTTACTGGAGCCTCCTGGACAAAGTAGACCAATCAGATTACAAGAAAATAAAAATATATTTCGAAAAAGTAGTTTTTAGCCAATTCGTCAGCTCGTAAGACCAAAGTGAGTTACTGGAAGCACAAAATTCAAATATTGAAAATAATCGTGTCCATGAAAGAAAAATTCCCAGAAAAATTATCTTCAGTGATGTTGTTCGCGTTAAAAACTTTTTTGATAACGTTTGGGAGACACACTTATTTGTCACAAAGCTGCTATTTGTCATGAACAAGCAATTTCTTCGTTAACATTACCGCGCTTTCCAAAAACATACAACTTCAAGTTAAAAATTTAACCAACGTTTACGTTCTTCACTTCTGTCATGATCAATCACTCTAACGGACCACTCGGAAAACATGGGCTCTCCTTCAGAACAAGTACAAAAGGGGGTCACATTTTAAAAGGTTGTAATTGGTAGATTTTGTAGTAATTAAGTTGACGACCATCTTTCTTGAAATTTTATTGTTATTTGAGTTTAATCCCATGGGTCAGCCCTGTCTAGGTGGCCCCGGCCGGTTACAGCACGCAATTGTAAACAGCCACACTCCAAGTTATATATAACTGACTTGCCAGTTTATCTTTCAAGACAGTATACGTAAATAACATCAACACGTGTACATCCACAATGAATCTGAAACTTCCTAAGGCTAACATTAATTGGCGAAAACTTACAATTGCTTTTCGGCGGGGCTGCAAATGAATGGAACCTGCTACCGAACCTACTACCAAACAATGCTTTCGTCGTGTGAAAAAAGAAAATTTAAAGACGGCCTTCTCCAAACTTAAATACATCTGTCTTATATAGTGAATTATACACCGATCGTATCTTGTTATGTTATGGCTTAAAGTGGGGAACAGGCAAGGTAGAATAAAACTTCCATATCAATGACCAAACCGAAGGTACAGCACCTGACTGGAAGTTATAATCGCCGAGCTTACTGTTGACATGTTAATATATATCGTAGAGAGGGCACTTCTGTTGTTCTCTCATTAATGACTCCTTCCTTCCTTCCTTCCTTCCTTCTTTCCTCCCCACCTCAACGCTAGAACACTGCAGCCACTAGACGCACCACGTGTAGGCCGTGTAGGAATTGATCGCACATGCACACAAAAGCCATATGGAAATTAATTAAGTAAATGTGGCGAGAGAAGAAAAGTTTATTTTTTTTAAATTACAAAATGAGCACTTATCTTACCAACTCTCTCCACTGCCGTCTTGAAAAGGTTTTCATATTCAACTTTCCGTGGAGGTAGATTCTCATAAGCGTCTTTTATTGTTTCCCCATCGACTACCAACACACAGAACTGGAGCGAGTGTCTCTCTAGGTACTGCTTAATTTGGTCAGGAGTTTTAAGGCTTATAACTGAAGGCTGTGAATGAAGATTCAGTTTAGGACAAATGCTTTCGAGAACCTGTTTTACTGCGTTTATGGCTTCCTCGGAAACGTTACAACTGAGAACTGCCAAGCCTGAAGGAGGAAGGAAAAACAGGGACACCTTTAATGTGCTAAAGAAGACAAAAGTACCATTTAAGTCTATTACGTACACAATATGGTAAAGCGGAGGGAGGGGGAGAAATAGGGAGAGAAAAAAAGGAGAGGAAAGGCAACTAAGGACAACCGAAAAAAAACTTTAGGCGATAAAATAATATCGTCTTACGCTCGATGTAAGGAAATCCAAGTCGTTGCACTCTGGATTCCACGCCTCAGTTGAACTTGGATTTCGTATTCCTTGTCATGAGCTATATTCCGGATTTCAAAGCCCAGAATTTCGGAATCCACCAGCGAAGATTTCCCTGCAGATTCCGGATTGCACACGCAAAAATTTGTCCGATCCAGGAATCTATGGGACGACGTTTTGCAAGTATTTGTTTGTTCATCACTGCGCCATTCAAAAGGACGTTCGAAAAGGAACACTTCAACAACTTCTTCCAGGTAGACTGTTCCCTAACCTCTGTTTTTCCCCATTTTTAACACTCCAACCACTCACTTGTGTATAACGCGCTCGCTTCACATTGTTCGGTTTCGCTCTTCAATACCAGGCCGAGAACAAGGCTAAAATTCTTAACTAGAAGTTCTACATTTCTTTCATGAGAAGATGTTTTGTCAAAACTATATGCTCAACTTGATGGCAGTATACATAACACTTAGGATATAAATTCAATAAGTGATTGGTAGCCAAAACTCGCAATTCATAAGGGTAAAGGATCGCTCTCTCCAGTCATTCTTTTTCTAAATGAAGGTGGAACAAACATTAGACGTTTATTGGCTAAATTACTTTCAACTTAACAGTTGAAGAAATGCTGATTGTAACATTTGCTAACCTCCATTAGTTTCCAGTGGCTGTTTTGTGAACAACGTTGTTTCCTTGGGTCTAGCCCCTTGGCTTTGGATGCCAGATCTACCAATGCTTCTACTACTGAATTCTGGACCTTTCTCCCAAGAAGGAATCTGTGTCCCTCCCATAGAGGAAAGCCTTTCGCCTGATGAGTTCAAAGGGTTTGGAACCATTGTTGATCCTAAAGCCCTTTGAGGCACAGCCCCATGGCTTCCGATACCTGCTCCGCTAATTCTTCCAGTTTTGTAACTTTGATCCCTTTGTCCATAAGAAGGAATTTCCAGTCCTACGCTAAAACCGAGACCTGCCAAGCCTGTGGGTAAAAAAAAAAAGCAGTTGCATCTCTAATTATTCTAATGCACTGCCAAGACTATACAGGTGAACAAGGTACGAATTACCTCTATCGGATTATAATGGTTGAAAGAAAAAAGAGAGAAAAACTAACGAACGACTGAAGACAAACTGCAAAAAAAAGCACTGAAGTCGATAAAAGGATCGTCTTGCAAGTAGCTGTTGTATGTGGTCAACCCTGTATCCCTAGAAAAGATCGACCTCACTCGTGAAGAAATAGACCACTGTTCCTAAACCTTTGTTTTCTCCTACTTTTATTTTTTACTGGTCGGGGAAAATTAAAGGAATAAAAGCACGCTTTCCTTGAGTAATTTTCCCAGTATCTGAGAGGCATTTGTTTTCTTCCTCTTCTGTTGGAATGGATTCAGCCCTGGTTTTTCGTCTGGCCTTCGAGGTTGGGTCTGCTTTTTTTGGCAGCTGATATTTAAACTTTTCACCATTCTTGTCTGGATTTAAAAAATGCATCAGAGCTTCCACGTGGATTTGCCTGTGTTTTTCGCCCCAGGAAAAGACGAAGCTTTTTCTTCCATCCAAATATTCTTCGTTGAACTGTACACAGACAATTCTTCGGGCCCAGGGCGAGATAACTGATCGTTCTTCCTCCTCTTCATTTTTGTAGTTGTCATCTGCACCAATGACAATAATAACATTGCCTTCTACCAAAAGAATATATACGTTAGAGAAACTTGACCTTGTTTTTGGGAAGACTGGTCACCGTTAGATCCAAGTAGCATGTAACAGTAGCCGAATTTTAAAAATGAACGTTGAATACTGTTATCATGACATCATGGCTGCCACCATGAACGTGTACTGAGATCAAATACGAATTCATGACAGCAGGAAGTATCTATTGATTAAAAGTTGAAATAACTGGACTCAGATTACTAGAGTAGTAAAAATAGCCGAATTAGAGTGATTTTACTTAAGACATGAATAAACAATATTTCTCAAACTCATAAATAATTAGTAATTAAAATACAAAGGAAATTTTAAAGTGTTTAATAAGTGTTTGGAAATCAGATGAAAAACTGCTCGGTTTTGCATCCTTAATTTCTCCGTCTCAAATCATTTTTTTTTTTTGAGAAGTAATATCGAGCATTTGACACAGATGAAACTCATCGAAGTCCGCCAAAAATTCGTCCGCTGCGCGTCGTGTTTTCAACTCTCTTCTCAGTGTTTCATCTGGTGATGAAACACAGTGACTGTGTTTCATGCATGATATATTACTTAACAATTAGCTCCAAATTCATATAGAGTGTAATACTGCATATTATTATTCATTCAAAATACTTCTCCGCTTCTGATTGGCTAAAACCACACGCATAATTCATCATAACCAGCTACTGTTGACCAAATTTGGAGGAATTTTGCCATATTGAACCGATGACGTCAGATTATTGAACCATTAATCGAGAAAACCTGGGGACAAGATTGAGTTGTTTTGGTAAAACTGATAATAACAGCATTTATTTAAACACGATTAAAAATTCAGCAAAGCTGATGTGGTCGTATACAAACAACAAAATTAAACTTCCTAACTAAGCACGATAAGACTAATATAAGAATTCTACGTATTTACAATAGCAACAATAAAAATTCTACAAAGTACATCATCATAATATATGTGGCTTAAAAATACACTTGAGTGACTTTTTAAAAGCGTCAAAAAGACAGTTCATAGGACAAGGTAAAAGATGATAATAATCCTAATGCGCCAAAATTAATAATCGTTTCTCATACAGAAACTCTAAGGTATTCCATTTTGCTGTGGCAAGAACCTCCTGGCCTGACGTCACCAATCTAAATTAAATTTTATTTTGCCGCTCTAACAGTATAGATTCTAGGTTCGAGAAAAGTACTTCACCACAAGAGTCCCAACCTAACATTCCATACGTAACAGAGGGCAAAATAACCCAAAAATAGAAATCAGTTCTCGCCTATCTAGGCAGGAAGTACAGTGATTTATAATAAGTAAGTTCAACTTCTGCGTAAACGACTTCGCTAGTTCCGATACGTGAAGATCCCATTTAAGAGCATTGTCTATCTACACATCTAAGCATCTTGTAGAAACAATCTCGATAACGATAGCTGGCTTCACGATAATTTTCTAATACCTAATCTTGAAAAAACGAAGATTATGCTTGTCGGTACCCATCAGAGGACCGCGGAGGCTGACGATCTAGTTATACAAGCACGCAGAAATTACCTCAAATGCGTCTTAGTCCATAAGTGTCTTCACGGAATAGCGCCTTCGTACTTACTTTCAGAGTTTAGACACGCGCACCTTTTCCATGGCTATAACACCAGAAGTCGTGATTGCTGCGCCCTCCCTTCGCAAAAACTACCAAATACCAAGGTAGCTTCAGAATAAACGGTGCTCGGACCTACAACACCCTACCGAGAATCATTAGACAAGTAGAGACCCTCAGTGAATTCAAAATCAAGCTAAAGTGCCACTTTAAACAGTAACACCTGCGTTACATGTTGTCTTAACTTAATTAATTGTTTTATTTTAATGTTTTAATGTCTTTGGTTTTGTGTTTTGTCAGGGCTCCATTTAAACTAGCTCTGCTAAATTGGATGCCCCTGGATAAATATTGAATTAAATAAATTAAATAAATAAATAAACATAATCGTCACCCATCTTAATAGCTCGTTTTGGCCCAGTCAGTAGCCCACTTCTGCTGAGCAGCATATACTCCGTCTTGGTAGGATCGAGTGAGTAATTTGTTCATTCTTGCTGGTTATAGGGGCTCTTGTTTAGCAACGCAAATCAGTGTGGCGCATTTCAGTCACAATATACCAATTGTTCATGAGTGCGTATGACTAAATGGTGACTGACACACTGATTTCCAATGCTTTTTTGAGGGTCTCAATGGGAGTTTAGCTTTGACGGTTAAATGTTGGCGATTTTGACGATTGGTTTAAATTGTAGCGGGGTTTTTGACGGACGAAGGTTATCAAGGAAATTTCATCTAATGAATTTTAAAACTAATATTTAATATAATCTTTGTATTTCTTTAAATATCAAAGGACACGGTCACTGGAGTTCGTCGCGGTTTTTCACATTAAAAATCATGTGATATATTTTGCCAGCTTACGATAAAACCTATAATAATATAAAATATTTTCAACATATTTGGTCACGATAAAATACAGGTCATACAATGAGTTCACCTGTCATAACAAGAATAATGGAGAGTCTCGCACAGGTCTGTTACTCTTGGCAATAAAAGGAAGATTAAGGCTATTTTCACACAGCTATATTGGATAGCTTTTCCGAGTCGTAGCGACACGAAAAGCTATATCCAGTATAGTATGAACACCTATCCGATATGTGACTCTCAATCTGCTTAGAGATCGGCGCGGTCCAGCTTTGCTCCGTTACAGAAATCGTGCCGAGGTCACCATTCTTATGTGTGAACAGAAACCTTATCGTTTTCAGTCGTGCCAGCAAAAAGCTATCCATAGCCTAAAACTCCCAATGCGTTCATTTGGTCCTCACCGATGAAAACTCGCATCTTATATCGCTCGATTGACTCGAATTGTTTCTGAGTTGCAGTAAATAATTGATAAGGTTATACCGTTTTGACGGTTGACGGTAAAAACATAAACTTTTGTGACGGTTATCTGTTCAAATTTGACGGTCGTTTGACGGCTTACTGTTAACGCCATTGACGCTCCGTTTTTGTCTACATAAATCCGGCCAGAAAGATCTGTAATGTATATTTGCAATTCAATGAAAATTGTAGCAATAAGACGAATTACTGGTGGCGTTTTGAATTCTTACCTGTAGCTTTCATTAAAGCTCTGTATACCTTGGTATAACCGCGGCCATCGTTTATCGACACGCGTGACTCTTGAGCGTGAACGACGAAAACTGCAAAATCCATCTTTAGTGACGGAATAACTTTCTCACTCAATTCATCGATTTCATTAAGAGAGAAGTAGTGATGCTCCACCGTGAAATCGAAACCAAGTTTGTCATGCAGCATCGGTCTGGAGGAGTTAAGTAAATCTTCGATGACGCGGAGTTCATAGAGATGATCACAGTTAAAAAGATGGATCTTTTTCTGCATTTTTTCCTGCCTTTTTCTATAAGTATTCTCTCGGTAGAGCGTGAATCCTTTTCTTAGTTTGAAGATGTGTTTTATAACCACTGCAAAGCGACAGCGTCACTTTTCACTGATTAACTTTTCCAAGAAAACCGAATTAAGGATACAATCTACAGTAGCACGCACGAGACCTGAGGGGTGGGGAGTTAAATGCTGAACTCCAGGGGAAAGGAGTGGGTACAGAGGAGTGGTCTGGAGAAAGTTCGATCGTTGTGAAGATCAATCTGGTCTACTTGTGATTCGTGACTCTAGAGCTACTAACTGCCTGAAATCAGGTTTCGCTAAACTTGTGCGTAACTATGCTTTAACCTTTAAAATTCAATTAAAACGAGTAGAAAATGATTACTAATCATTTTCTACTCGTTTAAATTGAATTTAATTCAAGGTAAAAGATGACGAAACTTTGAAAGTAGCATCCTCTTTTACAAGCTCTCAGCAATGAAAAACTTTCCAAATTGCAAGGCTTCATCCAATGTGAATGGAACTGGCCAATATCCTGTCTGAATGACTCGGAAACCCAGAAAAGGGGACTTTAAGGGAGTTAAAGTCTATCCCTACCCCTCCCCCCGCCTAGAAGCGTACTCCTTCGGCGCTCGTTTAGGAAATCGGTCAGTGAACTAATTTCAAAAGGAGAAAAATGCTCATATCGATCAAACTGCGTGCAAAATGCGTTATTATAATTTATGCATTACGTTATGCATATGAAAAGTTCGGCGTCTGAATCAAAAACGTTCCTAAGTCGTTTCATAGTCGAGAGTCCCGGCCGAGCTAATTTTTCTAATTCCCCTCTCCCTCCGGTCCGTTTTTGAATCCGAAAATGTTAGGTTCCTTTTTACTACGAAAAACAGAATAACCTGGAGAGTGAAATGTGAAAAATTAATCTTTAGAAAATCGTAGGGAATTTATTAGATAGGTTTCGAAAATTGTACATGAATGGAACGGTCATCTGGAACTTTTAAGCCGTCATCAAGTAGTAGAAAATTCTAGGCAATAATTGCTTCTCCGAACAGATATGGTGCTCCTCAGTTCGGCGTCTGAACAGGGCCTAAGCACCGGTTGATGAAACCTGAAATTGTTTTCCAACCGTTGTGACGTGTTGACTTACAGCGCGAAGCTCGCTACCGTTCCACCCGACCAAGATTTTTGATGAATTTTTGACACTTTTTTGACACTTTACCAATGAGCCCCGACGACAAAGTGGGCGGAGACAGTCTAGACATGTGGATAGATATGTGGCGCGACAAGAATTCATGGGATATTTTTAGTTTGTTGGTCGGCGGGCGACATGAAATTTCAAGTGAAAGTGGAGTATGGGAGAGAGAAATTTGTAAAGTTTTACGTTGAAGCAGAAGTTGTCGATGGAAAGGTACTGAGGTATTCATTCTCCTCGCTTGTAGAAGACATCCGACAGACCTGCGGTAGCTTGCGACATCACACGTCCAGCACTTTGCGGATACGATACAAGGACGAAGATGGCGATTTTGTCAACCTCAACGAGGACGACACAGATAATTTTCAAGAGATGTTTGTTCGTGCCAGTTCAGTAGATGAAGGGCTATATCGGAAAGTACTTCTGAGAGTCAGTGAGCTAGATTCACCTGTAGTTCAACCAACGGTCCAGGCAAAAAGAAGAAAGTTTGAACAAGAAATGTCTACCCCAGCGCGGGAAACTGAGCACATGCACAAACTTGATCCTCGCTCACTTGAGAGCAGCTTTGCGAATGCCGCAAATCCCGAGCGATCGCCACTCGACTACGTAAAAGCAGAATTGGCCGAAAATGTGCAGTTAAAAAACGTTTTATTATCGAGTGCGAAAGAGGAGTTGGTCAAGGCAACCGCCCAAAATGAAGCGCTCACTCCTCTCTCAGCCATACGATCAAGGATCTGTGGAAATTGTCACGAATCTGGTCATACAAAACCGAAATGTGTTTCACCTCCCTGTCCTTCTCATGACGCTTGTGGTTTGAGGGACAAGCACCCTGAGCTGAAACTTAAGATATCAGAGCTGCAAAAAGAAATCAAACGATTACAGCAAGAACACTGCGATGCAGAATCAAAGCTGAAGGCGTTTTGCGAGTCCCGCGTGAAGGCATCAACTTCATTTTTTGCAGTAATGCGTCCCAGACTTAAAGTGCGTAATTTAATCAAGTACAATGACCGTGTTTCCTTAGACCGAGATCTTCTTATTCTTGAAAAAGCATTGAATGGAAAGATTCCTGAATTTGATGTGAGCGAGGATTGGCGGTTGCCAATTCTGATTGAACAGTATCGAAATAGAAATGTTGATATTTATTTGAACAGCGTCGTAGATTGCCGCTCTTCAGTTTCCAAATGACTATATCTATAGAGGACTGAACTTTCTGAACTGTACAATAAGATCACCTTGTCAGCTGTTGTGTTGATGTATTGTTGAAAATTTTGTCTTTTATGCATTATAAAATTAAATTTTATGTTGTGTTGAATTATTAATTTTTTATTCTGTTTACATTTCGCGTGTTGTTTTTATACATTGTCGCCCATGTGATACAATGACACAAAAGTACTTTGAACAGTCGGCTTGAATATATAATAATTTTATTCAGTTGACATGATAACCCAAGAACTTGGAGGAATATATATTTTTTCGAATATCTAATTGTTGCGTGACTATATTTCCCCAACTTATTTGTTCTCACGGCGAGTTAAAACTACAACCGGGCGGAAATGCCTTGAAACGAACAAGGGTATCACAAGCATTTTTTTTTATGAATATCAATAAACAAGAAGCTATAGGAGATATTAGTTTTCCATCAATTATCGCGAACATTTACAGCCGTTTTCACTGTTTCGTGCATTCAGCTGGCGATTTCTCGCCCATCTTTTGACATGCTAGGAAAACAGGGCGGATCGATGTCGACAAATCACAGCCCGCCAATGTGACCTTCTGAACTTTTTTAGGTCATTCTAGTGGGCTGTGATTGGTGGATTTCGATCCGTTCTGTTTGTTAAGCTCAAAAAGTGGTGGTATTCGCCACGCTCTCATATTTCTTGTCTTCATATTTTTGTCTTGATTGTCGTTAGTTTTATACAAGATAGCCGCACTTCCTGAAGTATCCTGCTGAGTTTTCTGCAGTGATATGAGAAATCGCTTCTCCGATTGCCACTTCCGTTTCGTTCATTGCTAGCACCTGGTTCAGTTGAAGAAATTGCTTGATCTGGTTGAAACAGTACTCGCATGTATTGAAGTGCGGTGAATACGGTGGTTGGTAAATCAGTTCGATTCCGCATCTATTAAACATATTTCGCAACAATGGCTCAATGTGGCGAGCATGGTGAAATGCACAATTGTACATCACTACAACATCACCACGCTCTAACACAGCACTTCCATCTGTCCGTTCTACTTGCAAGGCGTCGTCAAAAAAATTTAGGAGTTCCAAACCATTTGATGGGCCTTGAAGAATATTGAAGTAATCGACACCAACAACTGAGTGGAGCAAATTTAAAGTAAATGTAGCGTTAGAAGCGTAACGTTGAAATTCAATAGCTCGTTCGCCGACCCTAGCGTTTCCATAGCGGCGATTACCAGTGGTCTTTACAACACTTGATTCATCAAAGAAATGAATCTTACTGGCTGGATATCTTGATATGGCTTGTAGATATTCGTCTTGCCGTTCCAATGCACCTGGTTTTTCTGCTTCAAATGGACATACCGTCAGTTTCTTCTTACGAAACATGAGGTCTTGCCTGAGTCGCCGATTGATCTGTGACGTTCCTGGAAGGTCATTGGGATGAATCACTCCATCTAACAGTAACCTTTGCTGTATCTCAGAAGCGTAGGTGCTCGGTTTTATTCGTTTTTGCACTTCAATGTATTCAAGAACGTTCGCGTCAATTTTAGGTTCAAGAAAATTAGTTCGTGGTGTACGAATCGACGAATTTGTTACATTGTAACTACTGGTAACTTTTTTTACAAATGTATGGCTGGTCCTGACTTGTCTTGCAATAGCGCGTTGGCCTAAACCTTGGTGGTTCAAATCTAATATTCGCTCACGAACAAGAGAAGGTAGTGCTCTTCCATTATCGTATAGGCCGCCATTCGCGTTAACACGCAATTGTATATTTGCTGTGGCTTGAGACATTATTCTTTTCTACTCACTAGTTTCTTGCAAATTTATTTTCCTGCTACTTACGATCAAACCAGTTACATGCAGTTATATGTATTTCACTCGCGCGCGGTAATTTCAAAAGGTCTGGCAAACTCCGCCCCCAATCAAAAAAGTGTCAAAAAAATGTCAAAAATCTTATTCCGTTGGAAACGGTAGCGAGCTTCGCGCTGTAACAGTGTATTGAAAAGCACATTTAGCATTATTTCTGCGTCCGGATTTAGAAAAAGAAAAAAACAAAGAACAAATATGGCCCGGTGCAGTTCGCCTGAAAGTTATTATTCTTCGGGCCGTAATACAGAGCTGAAACTTTGCAGACTTTGATCTATATATCGGCGGGGAAAAAGGCAAACTAAGAAATCTGGGTTTTCGACAGCGTAAAACGATCATAATGCCTCTGAGTCCAATCTCCTGTTCCTCTGTCTCTTGTTGTCGGCGTTTCCTTCGCTTTGCTAAGCGATGTTCCTTCTGCTCCGAGGTTTCTTGTTGACGTCTTCTCCTTCATTGTTCACGCTGAATTTGAAGTCGGCGTTCTCGCTCCAGAGGAGGTTCGGTGGAAAATCTTCCTGGGCGAGGATTTGGAGCCACTTGTTGTGCTTGTGTGTCATTTGCATGGGGAATTGTTCGTGATTCGCCGATGGTAAACTTTGTTTCACAGACGATGAATAAACACATCAAAATGCGCCTTGGTCATCGGCGGCGAAGTCTATGCTGCCTGGAAACGCAAAACTCTCCATGACGTCACTGGCGGATAACAAGCATATATTCAGAGAGAGATTTACGAAGACTCGAGTTCCGCAGCTGGCTAAGACCACGCGCGGTTAGCAGACTGCGCGCGCGCTTCGCTTGCGACAAGATTATAAAGTCGCTACGCTCGGTGCTCCGCGCCAAACTTTGCTCAGAATTATGTCAAGACTGATGTCAATACATTGAAAACAAACCAGAAAATGCCGGTAGAAAAACGTGACATAATTACGTTCTATTTTTTTTTTAAAGAAAACGCCGACTGAATATGATCCGCAAAAACTCTGTTTTTGTTTGAGCGTCGCCTTTAAAAACATTAAAAGGTACTCAAACAAAGAAAACCCTTTTGCAAAGACCCAGCGGTTTATTCAATAAACATCAAGTAAAATCACGGTGAAAATAAAGCCTGAATAAAGCAGTCTTTCTAAAAAGCTCTAAAACAAAACATTTTTGATAGGTGAGATTGTCAGAGATGAGGAAATCACGGGGAAATCATCAGAGGAGAAAATTTTGGCAAGCTGTTTGAAACGGCGTAATGCGTATTGCTTTAATACGACAGACCATAGTAGACTGCTAAAAACAAGCAGAGCATAATTGGCACATATCTCAATACGCGAAGCAAGGTAAAGATATTTCGAAATCTGTAATTTATTAAAATCAAAATTTATTCGGCGCGCCTTGTATCATCTAACTGCCCGTCTGCCGACTTCCGGGCTCCCCCTTGCGATCCCTCGGAAGATACACGTCTCTCCCTTGTTCAAAATAATCCGTTAAAAGAGGGCTTGAAACTGACTGAAATAGAATAAATAATTTCTTTCTCTTCACTATCAATTGTGCTGTTATTACTGAGTTATAATCTAACTACCATAAATTAGCTGAATTCGACATTTGAACACTCTCTTAAACTGTTTGCACAATACACTCTTCAGGATCTCCCTTCGCGAAGGGTCACTGTTGCATAAAACCCAAATACACGCTACTCTTAAAAATAGAAATCTCACTTTCATTATTTTTTTACACGTAAAATTTAAGGGACTCTATTGCGCTCACCTCCTTCATTCTTTTATAAAAACCGGCGTGAAAATCGCACGAGTTAGTAGTGATACAATAAAATTCCTGACGCGCCGTCCACCAGTCAGAAAATTTTAAAAAGTTAGTTTTAAACTAGGAACAGGAGTAGAGAATACGTTGCATCGAACTGTATGGGACGCGCCGTCCGCCAGTTCGAAAAATAAGCTAGTTTTAGACTAGGAACAGGAGAATTACTTTCTCACTGACAGTTTTAAAAAAGCTTGTGATCGCCTTGCGCTTCAAAGACTGGCCACAGCCGTCTCTGTTGAATCAAAATCAAGCTTCGTGTCCATTGAAAATTAACTCAGGTCTGGAACCTAAGCCGGTTCAAAACTACAGGAGTATTTTAGTGAGGATTGAAAAGGTGACTGACTTTCCGCGAAAAATGTATACGCAATCTAGGACCTCTCACATATAGCTTAATCATTCTTTACGTTTGTATGTCAACATTCTACTCATTCTCTAGATTTGGCCAAGTTTTCTCACGTAAAAATATTAAAATGTTAAATTACAAGGATTTTTCTGACAAGAGGTTAATAACATAGAAACTGAATGTGCTATTTAGCTCTAGAGCATTTTTTATGTCTGGCAGCTCAAAGTTCACGGGAATCGTCGAAGCCAAGCAAATGAACCATTGAACAAGGCACCGTCCTTAAGGGTTTTAGAAATAAATCACACTTTACAAAGCGAAGAGAACTTTATCGAATGTTACCGATCTGCGAAATTTTAAGCGAATTGAATTTATGGAGTCATATAGTGGTTTAAGGTATTACTGAGCACACGCTAGCGTCATATCACCATAAACTCGCAGCGATATAAATTTCTTTACATTGCCCGATTGACGGGAGTTGCGATACTAGGAGTCATCGGCTTTGCCGCTGGGAACATTGTCGAAGAAAAACAACGTGCAGTTGTTCCCCTGTCCCTAATCACTGGGCAACAGCATGGGAATCTTGTCTTCATTGTAGGCACCCATGGCTTGTAGAAACCGGTCGTACCCCAGCAGATCTTCATAGGCTTGATCCCCGGTCAGTTCTAGGGTTCTGTAAGGATATTCTTCTCCATTCAATCTCTGTCGTACTTGGGTGGCCCCAAACGTTTGAAGCGCATAGGGGTTTCTGCCCATGTCTCTATTGAAGGCATTCGAACGCAGCAAGCCCACCATCATTCGATCTGGAAACCGGCCCACAAAGACATTGTCTTGGGTGGTTCGGCCATCAAAGGAAAAGGTGCGGATTTCACTTCGAACCACAGGGTAGCGCACGATCTTTTTTTAGCATTTGTCTTTCTTTTTGTAGACTGACATAGGCACTGGCATTCAAGGTCACTTTTCTCATCAGCAAGGTGACTTAGATGTCATCATTATGGATGGCAGGAGATTTCTTGGCGTTCAAGGTTGCTTTGTTAGGGGTGCCCATTAGGTAGACAGAGCTGGGGTTCAGGAACAGTTCAAAGTCCAGCTGGACACCAGGCACCAAACATTTTCCCGTCTTGAGGGGTGGCAAATGGCGGCGGATGATGAAGGTGTGCCAATTCTCGCTCAGCAACCGGCTGATCAACGCTCGCAATTCTGCATTTCCACTCCAGTTCGCATTGGTGGGGATATCGGAATTGGCACCTGTGGCTCCTATTTCCGCAATCACTTTGAGTTGATTGACCCAGCCTTGAGGGGCTAACTTGGTGGCTCCTTCTTCTCGGTTGTAATTCAGTAAGGTTTCCAGATAGGCTTTGTAATGGTAGGTTTTACTTTGTTCGGTCATGAGCACCCCATTCATCTCATGTCAATATCTCGAAAGATGGTGTGGCCAAAATTGTTGACGCAGTAGGTGTTTCTGGTATTGTTGGCATCAGAGTCGGCCAAATTGGCTTTCAATCCTTGATAGCCACCCGCAGGATCGGTCAGACGTACTTTGACTTGAAAACGGAGTTCGTTGAGATCGTAATAATCGTCCGAGTGCCGTCGAATGCGATTTTGCATTTTGAGAAATCCTCCAATGTGCACCATGATTCACAGACCAAAAATATCCCGTACGCGTTGGGTGGCTCTTTTATAGGTGTTTTTAGCGGTTCGTTTGGCTTGGTGTTTCCCGACCGTCCAGGCCAGGGTGGGGGCTTTGCATTTCAAACCGCTTGTGAGTTGCTCGCTTCCATTGGACCAGGTGTTGGCCAAACTCTGTCCTCGTTGGATATCTTGAAGTCCCGCTTGAGCTTGCTGAACAATGACGGGACCGGCTATTTTGATCAAATCTTCAGCCAAGCCTTTTCCCTCTTGGGTCGTGACCACGGGCGTGACGCAGCGCGTTAAAATCCCTCCTCGCATCTCTGCTCTGTTTGTGTTCTTGACAAGGGTGGTGTTTTCGTTTTTATAGCTGTTTGAGTCCAATGTCCACGATGGTTTCCCAGGGGGGTAAGATGGCCAGGGGTCCTTGGGGTGCGGCGATCTCCACTTCCACAATATCCAATTGATTCCCTCGCACTTTAATCCACTGGTGGTGCAGGGGTTCCACCGTACTCTGACCATGCCCTGTTCTTAATAACTGCACTTCACGCAACAGGGGAAATTTGCCACTCCCTACCACGGTGGATTCTACTACATCCGAATAGACCATCACGGTGCGTTTACTCGTACCCACCAACTTTTCAAAGGGGGCGTTAAAATTGTTAAACTGCCATTCAACCATTCTGGACAGATGAAGGTTGTCATTTTTTCCTTGAAACACTTGATCCGTCACCCCCCTCGTCACATCTGTTGGTTGTATTCCCGAAGAATGCTCTCCATTCCAGTTCATGTCCCTTCGATTCGATGGATTAGTGGGGGTGTTTGGTCATCGTAGGTCATACAGGGGAGGGTGAACTGCAGATTGGGTCCCAACTTGTACCCATTCACTCCTTGGGGACCCATCACAGACCCCTTCCTTCCTTGGGGTGGTTCGATCAACCCAAACTTTTCAGCCACAGCCAGATTGTTGGAAGACGTTGTCAAGGCCTTGATCTTGCTGAAGTTCAGCAACTCTCTTTCAGGTACAACATGCAAAATCAGGGCATCTTCTTCCCAGGTCATGGTGGGCATCCAGTTCTTTTTCAAACTGACATGGGGTCGTTCATCCCGTTAATTCGTCCAGGCGTACTTTTGTTCGTACATGAGTTGCTGCATGCTTTTGTTGTGCATTTCTTGCATCACTCGTTTCCAAAACAGGTTGCCAGACGTGACAGGTTGTTTCGAACTCTTTATCTCTTCCAATTTCAGATAGTACTCCTTGGTCTTGAAACTGACCCGTCGATACTCCCCTGTGATATATTTTCGAGTCAAGAACGTCATGTTGAATTGAATGACAATTGTATGAGGATCCGTCGCGATCGCGCCATTGATCCGGTACGGCCAGGCACACTACCTTGAAACTGTTGTCGGCATTTTTGTGAAACTCGTCAGTCAGATCGCTGATGAGAATTAAGCGTTGGATGTTTCTCATGATGAGGAGGATGATCGTCTGAGGGTGCGTGATCCTTTTTTATAGCCACTGGGCCACTTTCTGTTTGCTGCGAGGGACCCGTCCCACCAATGAATTGAAGGTTGATTGTCTGGGGTGAAAACACACTTGCTGCACAATGTTAGGAAAGGCCGGCGCCAATTCCATCAGGGTAAGGCAGGTTTTTTTGTTCCCCGGGTTTCTTCTTTTGCATGGGCGGATGACGACTGGCACGTCGGCGTTGTTTCTTTTTGGACGCCGTGTAAGAACGGAGGGCTTGTTGACCAAAGGCGACCCCAGCCATCCTGTTTACTTTAGCTCGTCTTTGTTTCGCTGCTTCCTCGTTGATGAACTTCATCATACCCGCTTCATCCAGCTGGGGTGGAGTGTAACTTGCACGCGGTCGGCTGGCTTCGGCCTGTATTTGGTCCAACCACCGCACCCTTTTTTTACGGGTTGTTTTTGTTTTCTTCGCACCTGCCTGGGTTGGGGTGGAATCCAACTATCGTACTTGGACGGCCACCCTTTCCACCGCAGTAACACGTTGCGTCCTTTTCGTTTGAAGACTTTTTCTACCCGAAATAACGAGTCGTCCGATACTTGCACTTTTTGCACATCGGATTCGTAAAACGCGCCTTTTTTAGGCGTGCCGTTCCATTCACTGATTCTATAGGTGACGACGGGATGAAGACGTACGTGCGTGACCACAAACACTTCTTCCGTCCATCCCGATAAATAGCCTTTTTTGAAGGGACGATGTTTCTTATTGAGGCGCAATCCTCGTATCATTTCTTTGCTGCTTTTGGATTTGATGGGGACTATCCAGGCATACTTGGACTGGACATCGATCACGGTCAACAAATATTTGTGGTCCTTATTCCATCGACTGAGTTTTTGAATGTCCACCAAATCCATTTGCCATTGTTCGTCTCGGTCAAATACCAGGGTGGCTGTGGTAGGGAAACGAGTCCGTCGGGGTTTGTGTAATGTATAACTCAACACCGATTGAAGAATCCGTTGTGCATCAGGGGTTTTCAACTTGTGGCCTTTGGCAAAGGGTTCTACCCCACCCAAAGCCCCAGGTTCATGGGGACCTTCGTAAGCGCGTGGCAACGACATGGAGACAGTGACATAACATCATTCCAATTCTCTTTCTTTAAAAGTTTTTTCACACATACAATTTTGTCTTTTCAAAACAAAGTTCCACTACCAAATTTTGACTGAAAATGGTTCCTCTTCCTTTCATGGGCTTTCGTCACTTCAGCAAACTGATTCAGCCACTGTTGATCCGTCATAGATGTCCAACCCGTGGTGCCACGGGTCCCATAGAGCATTGGCCGGGGCGTGGGTCCGTCGATTTGTTCCCTACCGGTGTCCAGACAGTGTTTTTTCAGGAGGGGGACGGGACCACTGTAATAGGGCACATTCCCATGGGGTGTTTCTTTGACCCATCGTCTCAGGGACGATTGCGCTTGCTCTCGGGGACGCCACAGCGGACCATGGAGCCATTGACAATAGCCACAGGGTTCTTGTCCTTGGAGAAAGCTCCCACAGCTCAAAAACTTTTTGTTGTAATTCTTGGTGGTGCGACTCAATTTTATCTTGGGGGTGAACCCACATTTGCCCTTCAGCAACCCCTGTTGCAATTGGGCTCGCACTTGGGGATGGGCGTCTTCTTTCAGTTTTTCCAGCATGATGTCACGGGTGTCTTCAAACAAATACACGGGACATCCTTCTTGGGGGCACTTGTACCTTAACTTGCCAAATTCGGTCTGGAGGTTGACACAATGGATGAATTGGTGGGGATGAAACGGGCACGCTTGGTACAAGAGGTCGTTCAGGTTCGCCTCCATCTGGTCGAGGTCCTGTTCTTCCCATTTCCCCACTTCGGTGGCAGGATCCGATTGAAATATCCCTTCCTCCACACATTCTTTCTGGTAGTCTTTCAGGGCATGGTCCATCAAGTCGTTCACTGTTTGGGGTAGTGGTGGTTCTTTGGCTCGGGGCAGGGCATTCAGGGCGACTACTAATTCACTAGTCGGTGGTTGTGTGGTTTTGATGTCTAGTTCTTTGGCTTTTTGCTCCTCGTTCTTTTTGGCGCTGGCTCGACGTCTTTTACGTCCATTGAGTACAGCGGCTGGTTGTGTGGCTTGACGCTCCATGACTACTCACTCCGCCGAATGAATCTCACCTCGATCCTTTCATGTCTTATATAACCCATGACCTGTCCACCAACCATCATCTCATGATCATGGTGTGATATTTTTTCGACCAATCCTGCCCCTGGACATCATCTCGTGATGATGGTGTGATGTTGTTTTCCTCCATTCCCGGCCCACTCCATTTGTTATAAAACCGTTGGTTTCCTGACTTCTTATCAGTTGGTGTCCTCTTCGTTCCTCGGTAAGTGGCTTTCATCATGTCTTTACGCGAAGTGCGTCTCTTGGTTTACAGTCAGGGGTTTGCTATCTCCCAGGATGAGTATATTGTTCGGGAACTGGCTTTTTGTGATTGGACGGGTCACCATCACGTGTTGTTCAAATACACGTTACCCCTTGGACTGACGTACGACCTTTTAACCGAGGACGCCAAGACCCGAGTGGATCGTCAGAACAAGCGGTGCATGGTTTACCTTTTGAGCCTTTTTTGTCGGATCACAACCGACATGAATTATTTCATCCCTACCATCAGTTAAGGGAGGATGTCACCCGCTGGTGTCAACAATATCTCACCAGAAAATGATGGCCGTTCGGTGTCTTCACTGTCAATGGTCTCTATTGATTGTTCCAAGAGCCACGGTTTTCTTACCCTATAGTCGTCTTGGAAGGGCAGGGATACAGGGAGTTATCCAGTCTTCCCATTGCCACCGTCAATGTGATGGCCACCAACGATCATGGCCGTAATTGGTGTCACGATCACAGCCACGGGGAACGCGGTATCTGGCGCGAATGTTGTGCTCAAGAACTGGCCTGTCAGATGAGTGGCTGGTGGGGTCGACATTCCAATGAGTTACCGACCCTCTCCCAAGTCAACGCCAAACGCGTGCTTTGGCAAAAACGATGCGATCGTCTTTTGGACAACGTCTTATGCAACCGATGCATCGATGACAAAGACGATGCGTTTGCCGAAGGCAAAGGCCTGGATTGGATCCCCGATAATTGCAGTGAATGCCGAACCGTCCGACGTATCTTTGAACAAACTGTCACCTACTGGGAATGACAGGAACCCCTGATGTATGCTGATGATGAACAGCACACTATGTGGGCTTGGAATCCCTTGTCCAAAAACAGCCATCATGAATTCAGACTTTTTTCCATTTTCACAGACAATGCCGCTGACCATTTACACGGGAGGCGCCAAAGGCGTGGATACGCATGTGCAACATTTATGTCACAGATATGGTCATCCGTGTGTGGTGTTCATCCCACCCTGTCACTCCCGAGCCACGTCCCTCGCGCCCTTGACCCAGCCCGACTTGGACGCCGCCATGCCTATTGTCACTCGGGCCGCATTTCAATTAGGTCGACATGTCTCCCATCTCCTCACCCTTCAGTTTATACAGCGTAATTATCACGTGATCAAGCCTGCTTCCTTAGTGCTGGCTGTGGGGTATTTTGACGAGCTACGCAAGCATGTGTTGGGCGGCACGGTTTGAAGAGTGGCTATGGCTCAACTCTTACTGAAACCCCTCTATGTGTTTGATTTGGATATGGAACAGTGGTATTGGTGGAATCCCACCCAACAACAATATCAACCCTATGAAGGTACGACCGAGGAACAGATAAGCCTTCTCACATGACAAGACAAAACGGCCATTGTAGACACCCGAGAAGAAGACGCGGCGGTCTATCCCACCTTGAACGCTTTATTCCAACGCTCATAAATAAAACAACATGATATACATGTAACAGGTTTAATAACATCTCAATGTACATTCACAACAACAACAATGTGTCCCATGGCGCTTCAATGACCTTATGACTATGTCCAAACGTGTATTATAGGCCGGTATCCTCCTTCCGATCATGACTGGACGTTTTCCAATAGTATTTGGGCAACCCTTTAAATTCCAAAAGCAACTTCTTCCTCTTGTCCATCGTATAAAAGCATTTCACCCAGAACATGATTTTCACTTGCACTTCGAAGGGTAAACTCCTGCTAAACGGCTTTTCCTTGGGATCCACCAACCCTTTGTATTTCATGATGACAGCGCCAAGCATGAATGTGGCCTCTCTGCTCTGTTCTGTCTTATTAATCCAGATCCTTGGACCAATCGCCTACTCGTTCGAGGACTTTTTTCCATGGGAATAAAAGTGTACCCA